AGATACACCCTGAATACAGGCTGCTCTGTCTAAACTGAAAATGACACTGATGTGAAAATTTGCATACAGATGTTATGGAGTGGGTCCTGTTCAATGAAAATATTTTTGAGATGGTGGCATTTCAACTTTATTATTACAAACAGAAGGCTATATTTTTGAATACTTTTCCAGATTTCTTATGTTATTTGAAGATTATATATACCATAGCCTTCTCAATACCTAAGTCTAGATGTATTCAAAATGAGCAGAAATCTGAAGCAAAAGAAATCTGACACACATTTCGATTTGTCAATAATTTTTTCGTGTTCTCGTTGACTAAAGTAATATTTTATTGTGTATGATGGTGTACAATATGGAAATAATATGTACTCTCTGTAACATCACTCATACAGTCATCAATTCATGAATAATCTTATACTAGTCATTAATGTCTGATAATTCGATATTCTCATTTAAAAAATATATATATGATATCTGTTATCCTTATAAAAATGTAATAGTCAAAGTAATGAGATACGTCAAGGAGGAAAAAGAAGAACAAATAAAATGGCGCCCGAGCAGGGACTGTTTAACGCGATATAACTAAGTGATACCAAATAAAGAATGACTGATGTTGAAATTGACAGCTAGTCCGATTTTTGCTAATATATACAAATGATACCTTAAGTAACATCAAGTTATGATCATGCAGTTACTAGTTATATATGAATTCATAGCACACACTTCTTGAACTTGAGTCACATCAAAAGTGTACGTCAAAGACTGGCCCGCTTACTTGGCTGGGACAATATTTTTCAAAAAGTTTGTGTGGGGAAATGAGGAAAAACATATTTCAGGTATTCCACTGCGTCCATTTCGAGTGTCCTTCTATGGAGGACACCAGCCAACAAGCTTCGCTAGCCGTGAAAACTTCCAGACCGCTTAGGGCTCCCAGCAACGAGCCCCAGAACGCGGTACAGCCCACGGAGACGGCCACAGAAGCGGAGGAAATACCGGAGGCACCCGAAGCGTTCCCGGAGAATGCCGAAGCCGAATGAGGGTATCGAATTGTGCAAAAGTATGTAAACTGATCGAAAAAAATTTAGGATATTGTCTCTTTGCTATGCAGACATTTTTCTAGAAAAAATGTGCTCGAAAATGTAGTATAGCTATAAATATCTATGTCGTTTGCGTTCAAAAATATCCTTAGCTTTTTTCGATCAGTTTAGTTCTGTTATCTGAAGTGGTCCTAAAAACAGCAAGCAATGTTCTCGAATATTCAGCACCAGTGTGTCTCTAAATAAAATGTTGAATTTATTTCTCATGTGCTGTTGTGCTTTATTCACATTCTTAAGGTTATTAACTTTTTTCAGCCAGTATTGTGCTCATTATACAGTGTGACCCACTTCTAATGGAAATACCCCTGTATCTTATGTATTCGTTGGGTAAGGATCCTGAAATTTGCTGGAGCGAGAGATATACCAAGAATGCCCTCTATGACCAAGTGGGGTCATCTCCAGTGATATACACTGCTCGCCAACAGCCATGGAACCACCCCAAATTCCGGAAAATGATATTAGGAGACAAAATAGGTCAAAAATCACTTAAGATTCGGGATCAGAACCCAATTCATTAACTTTTTTTATGTTTCCTGGAAAATTTTCAGTTCTGAAAAATCAAATGTTGTCACACTTTTTACGGAAGCACCCCCGTATCTTACGCAATTGACTTTATCTTTGGACTTCCTTCCTTCCTCCTGCAAATTTCAGAGTCCTAGCTCAATAATTACATGAGATACGGGGGTGCTTCCATGAGAAGTGAGACAAAATTTAATTTTTCTAAACTGAAAATTGTCTAGGACAACTATGGTGAGTTAATGAATTGGGCGTCCGATTCCGAATCCGAAGTGATTTTCAACCTATTTTGACTACTAATATCATTTTCCGGGAATTGGGGTGGTTCCTGTTGACCAGCAGTGATTCAGGGGTGTTACCATTAGAAGTGGGTCACACTGTATGTTAGTATTTTCAAACTGAGGTGGACCACTTCAATTACTAACTAGTAAATTTTTGTTCTACAAAATATTAAAAGGACACTTTTCACCTACTACACCAATACCACAACAAAATGGTTTATTTCAAGGAAGAAGTGATAAAACAAAGTAAATTAATTAAAAAAATGTGATTATTCATTTTACTCAGAGTAGGAAAATTCGTTGTTTGTATATTTCCACACTGTCCCTCATACACTGAATTTGTGATACATAAGAGTTGTTTCAGCTTTAATTTTTAAATAGATTTTCGTGAAGAGAGCTATAGTTCCAGAGTTCATTTTATTTTTTGATTATATTCGTAGGTAGGAATGTAAAATCCATGTTTGTTTTTCAATCCTATAAAAAAATAAAGTCGATAACGAGTTTTACTGAGTTCCGAGTTGATTGGACATACCTTTAACAGATTAAAAAAAAAAGTTCGTGTTTCATGTGATTTTAGTTATTTCTCATATACTTGGGTAGGTATTTATTTCAGTGAGCATCGAAGATTTTTACAATGCCAAGAATTTTGATTGTGATTTGCGTTTCATATATCACATAATGTGGCCAAATGAAACTTTCCTATACAGTTTTCCATGTTGTGGCGGAATACTTTAAAAAAGAATTTCGGGCACGCCCGTATTAATAATTTTGTAGGAAACACAATTTTATTATATTTTAATCCACTGAAGGACCCTCCAAACCAAAAGTGGAAACTTTTGTATTTTCAAATGAAACAGCTTGTATATCATAAATAATACAAATAGTACTTGCATTATCTATAGATGCTGTCTTATACAGTATGTACATGCATTCGAACAACACTTTTGAAAATTCCTGGAACAGGTCGTTTTTCTTTCAATTTACTGTTTTACAAAATTATAGTCTAACGAACACCCACCCAATTTTTTCCAATTCTTGGATTTTTTATGCTGAGCTATATCTTCAACATTATTCAATTGCTTCAAATAGGTGCATACATACATGATGGACAAGAATCTGCAAATATTTCATGAAAATCTACTGGAGGTTATACGATGATGTATTCACTGCGCGTCGGGTATCACTTTACAAAGAACATTTTGTGAAAACTTCAAAAAAACGTGCGCTATCTCCATACAACCATTATTGAACGTCTGGTAACATTGCAAACGGAATTTATAATTTCGGTCCTTCCATCTTCTCCGAAAGCAAACGCTTGGGCTCGGCTATTAACATCTGAGCAATGATTCACAAAAGTTTCAGGCATACCATAAAGTTACCGTACATTTTTTAATATCTATTTAAATCGGGTATTTCCAATTTTTGTTGTTTTCTGTTAGATATTTTTTACAATTATTTTGTGGTATCCAAAAAAGAGTATTCTTTTATTTCAATTTGTTTTCTATTCAGATTTCATTAATCGTTCCACATTTGTGAACACCCAGTGTAAATAGCTGTAACACACATATCAGGCAGTGACAAATATACGAGAAAAAAATTCGAATTTGAAAATATCGTTCGTCAAAAATAGTAGATTTCGCCTTGTAGATGTCGAATCTTGAACCTTAAAGAGGAAACACAGTAAGGGACGATTGACTATGAAGTCCACGCTTTCAACACTCAATATCTCCAAACATATCCCCATTCCATATACGGGGCTGTGAAAATGTTTAATTTTTCAAAATGGAACACGCTTTATTTCATGTCATATTTTAAAAGGGTGATAAAAGATCGAGCAGCGTGCTTCTACTACAAGGTGTTTTTAATCTGAGACGGGGCTGTGAAATATAATTATCTAATTAAATTCAAGTTTGCTGTCAGATCAACTGGCAATCGTTCTTTTCAATAATCTGGTTTCAGCTCAAATTGAGTCGAATTAAATGATTTCATGACAAAAATCTCAATTCAATCTTTGTTTTATTCATTCGATTCACCCAGTATTACTCCATGGAATGTATGAAAATTATATATGTTTGAAATCAGAAAAAAAAATCACTTTTATAATATGCAATGAAATATACAGGGTGTTTGGTTCACTGACGTATATACGGAAGGAGGTGGTAGGTTATGTGATTTTGAACAAATTTGACCATATAATACTATTATACAAAGTGTTACAATTTTCGAGAAATCATAGCTTATAAATTCAGAATTGGATGTTACAAAATCCGTTTTTTGAATTCTAACGAGCCAAAAAATGTTTTTATCACACTAGATACCATTTCGTGTTCAGAATCGATGAAATGCGTATTCAACTTTCTAAGAAAAAAGAGATTTAATCACATGAAATGTTTGAAAGAACGATGATACCTCGAAATTTGAAACACTTTGTATAATAGTATATACATATATATATGGTAAAATATGTTCGAAATGTTCCCAACTATCACCCCCTTTCAGATATACATCGGTGAACCAAACACCCTGTATACACATGTATATGGAATGGGGATATAATGTTTGGAGGGCATTATTCGAAAGAGAACAAAATCTGATTCAAGATTATGGTTTGAATTTTTCAATATCTTAATTTGTTTTCGAGATATCGAGTATTGAAAGCGTTGTATCCATAATCGATCACCCTGTACATAATTTTGTTTCCTTCGTTTTGCAGTCAACCGGAAATTATTCTGCTGTTAATTTTGGGCCAGTCCAATTCTGTGGTATCCACGCAACAGGTGAGGAGGTGAGCGAGGTAAAGTTTACATACCTTCCTAGCCATTCACCTGTTTTGAATATCAAAATCGAGTTACCTGCGTGAACCGCCACCTGTTGCATACGCAATTCAGGCATCATCACTTTGTTGTGCAAAGCGGGTCGTATACAGTGCACGACGGTATTGTCTTAAAAATAAACATGATGTTTTCGAGAGATGGTATGGAATTGGGAACAGAATGCGATTACTAAGAATACTAAGCGATTCGCTCAAGGACTTTTCTATTTATACTACTAAATAGACAGTTAACTCAATAAAATGTATAACAAACACACCAATGAATAATGGGATATGGGATCGAATCTGCTGCTGCTGCTGAGAAACAAGTGAGTATAAATTGTTGAACTCTGCCCCCCCCCCCTCTATTATGTTTGTTGAACCGCATCAGCTGCTTTTGTAAACATATCCAGAGATAAGGGACCGCATCAGATCAGTACAATTAAATTGTTATAATCGTGATATCGTGATATATTATGTATGTGTCTGTGTTGTTTAGTGTATGGTAACATTCCCGATTTTATTCCAGAAGAAAAAACATGCTTTTCTTGATCGTACTTTTATTCCTCTACCCCTTTTTGAATGTTGCCGGTATCAATTTGACGTACATAGTGAAAAAAGAACAGGATGGTATTCATCCTAGCTGCATAGCTGAGGACTTGGAAAGGTATTCAGCCATCGGGTGGATTTATCCTATTCCAGAATCTCCAGAAAATTTGCCAGTTATCAGTGAGTACAATGTTTATGTTGAGTGAGAGTGGTTCCATAATTTGGAACATGTGGGTTGTCCAAAAGTCATTCCGGACTATCCTCTATACAGGGTGGCTGAAAAAACAACGTGGAAAGATGTGTGAACCAAATTGAAAACTATATGGTGAAACTGCACTTATGTGATAGTTTTTTTTTTCGACATTTTTTATTGGTACTTGTTTGAAAAACACGAATTTGATAATGAAAATGTGAACAAACCACTATTTATCGAGATATTTCATGAAGAAGTTCGAAATTTCGCCTTTTTTCCCCTGTGTTGGATGCATTTACAGCTACTTTTGCTCTTCTTATTTTTTCATTGGACACTTTATACACTCATGATGTCCTTCAATTACACATTTTTATATAGAAAATTCAAAACGAAATATGATTTTTATGGTGACTTTTTCATATTTAGTGAACAAATTATACCATGATAATATGTCAAATGTTAACAGATTGCTTTTACACACGTCATTATTTTGAATAATATTCTACCTTCTTTTCACTAAATATGGATAAATCGCAAGAACATGATTTTTCTAGTTGACTCATATAATAGAAAAAAATGTGTCATTGAAGTACATTGTGATATATAAATTGTCCAATGAAAAAAGAAAGGCAAATTGTTCTAATTTCGATCCAAAAGACAGGCGGAAAAGAAGGTGAAATTTATTATAGTGAAATACCTAAATAAATAATGGTTTGTTTACATTTTCATTATCAAATTCGTGTTTTTCAGACAAAAATACATAAGTATTTTGCATATTTTTCTTTTTCCGTATATCTCCGGAAATAATTGAACTTTTTCCAATTTTAAAGCAGCATTTTTATTTTGTTGAGCATGAAATGGTGTGACTTTGTCCTAATTTGACCTACTCGTTAAGGTTACACAGATCCCCATGCTTAGTCACGAATTTTTAACACCCTGTATACTTAATAAGTCCTTCTGACCCAGTGGCGTAGATTCCAGGGTCATATGATACCCTTTATGTCCTGCGAAAAAAATCAGAATAGGTGTTTTGGATTGTTTTTTTTTTACCACAAAAATATTGTAACTTCTTGTAAAACTCGGTGAGAATATGAATTTGAAAATTTCCGTGTTAATTATTTATTTCATTAAATAACAACTGAACTAAAAAACATTTCCATCTCCATGACATAACATAAGAACTCATACATGTTGAAAACATCATCAATCTTTGATCTTCTCAACACCTCCCCTCAAAGTTGTGAGTTTTAAATTCTTGTCCTGTTAGATGTAGCTCCCTCACTCCTAACGCTTCCATGAATTTCTTGTGACTCGGACTAGGTAATGATTTTGTTAGTATGTCTGCTATCATCTCTTGGGTAGACAAGTATTCAATTCCTATTTGTTCGTTTTCGTATACTTCTCGGACGAAGTGATGTCTAATATCTATATGCTTAGTCCTTGAATGATAAACGGCATTCTTCACCAAGCTTTGTGCACTCTGATTGTCGTTATATATGGTTATTTTGTTTTCAATCAAGTCCAACTCCTTCAGAAAATTGTATAGATAGATCGCTTCTTTGGCAGCTTCAGTGAGGGTCATATATTCAGCTTCTGTACTGGACAAAGCAACGGTACGTTGTTTTCGTGACTGCCAACTTATTGCTCCGTTACCAAATTTGAAAATATATCCTGTATATGACCGCCTATCGTTGATGCAACCACCCCAGTCAGCATCTGCGTGTAGCCAGATATACTCTCATTTGATTTTTCAAATTGCAGGCAAAATCCCATCGTACCTTTCATGTAGCGTAATACTCTTTTCGCCATATCCCAATGTTCTTTAAGATAATTCGCATTGAACTGGCTCAACATACATACTGTATATGCGATATCTGGCCTTGTGGATACAGCAAGATATAACAAGTGGGGTACGTAGTTTTTGAAAGGTATCAGATTAGTATAGATGTAGTTTTCATTAGGTATTAGATTAGTATAGAGGTCAGATAATTTATACGACGTTATAAAAGCAGATGATATTTTATCATTGCTCATGTAAGATGGAAGTAGAGGCCATGGCACCATATCATGAGCATATTCTTGTATTGAAACTATCATTGGGCACCAAAGATGGGTATACGACGCTATGAAAGTTCAGAGAACTGGAGATTTCTCCCACAAACTATACGTACTTAGCCCACTCGACTGTCTTGATTTTTCCACACAAACTACGTACCTAGCCCACTAGACTGCCAATAGGGACTAAAACAACAAAAACAAAAGAAAGTTCAAACAATGTCAACATATTTCTTCTTTGTGGGAAATCAAGACAGTCGAGTGAGCTATGTACGTAGTTTATTGGCGAAAAATCAAGACAGTCGAGTGAGCTAGGTAACTAGTTTATTGGCGAAAAAAAAAGACAGTCGAGTGAGCTCGGTACGTAGTTAATGGGAAAAAAATCAAGACAGTCGAGTGTCCTTTTTTTTACTTTCTTTGTTTCTTGTTTCGTTTTCTTTTGGCAAGTGATTATCTAGGAACTTGTAAATTCTTTAGTTTTTTCATCGTATCTCATGAACTATTAAATTCAGAAAAAAATGTTATGGGGATTTTTTGTGGATTTTATCAAAAGGAATAATTTTGGTTCTATAACATTTTCAGATATTTTCAGTTGTTTTCGAGATATTTGGAATTATCTGAGAATAAAATTTTCAACACTTTTGTTCCATCTTCCAATCAACAAAATGAAAAAATATTCCATGCCTCAGTGGAGGTAGATGAGCTTCATCTATCGATAATCTATGTTTTTCAATATATCTTCATAGTACCCTATGGGTCGTTCAAATTTTTTTTTTCATATTTTTCACTTTATTTCCTGTACTATTGGGTTTACAGAAAAAATTATGGAAAATGATTTGTAGGGAATGTTCCAGTGGATAACATTGCACTCTTGATAATTTTCGATTTTTCCATTTGTTTTCGATATATATTGAATTAAAAGGATTTCAAATTTTGATGTTTGGGTTTTCATTTGTTTTTCCAGTTTCCGATGGATGCACGAAAAAATGATTGAATGATAATTTGTTGCGTCATCAAAGAGGCATACGGTGCATTTCTCAAATTTGAATTTAGTCTATTTGTTCACGAGATATGTCGTTTTAAAGCGAACCGTGTTTTTCGGAAAATCTCCTTGAAAAACCCACTTGGAATTTTCCGACCCTGCTCAATTTCAATAGGCTTCGTCTCTTCCTGATAGAGGTTTTTTTCACAAAAAATGAAATCGATCGGACCACTTTTGCGATTTGTAGAGTGGTTACAAGGAACTTCCGGTGAAAAATCGAAAAAACCCGGAAAAACCACCTTAGAGTTTTCCGATTTCCTTCATATTTTAATGACATAATATTGTTTTGAGTACAATAGGATGGCAAAATTTCAAGTCGATATGTCAAAGGGTTCCGGAGATATATCGATTTATGATTAACACAGAGTACAGACAGACAGACAGACAGACCACACACAAAAACCAAAGTTGCTCAAAATTCGATGGGGATCATTTTCTCCAAAGCAACTATACCTCTATCTCGCTTAGTTTCCGAGATAGCATTTTTGGCACGGCCGTAGTATACTCCACTATGTATAGCGTCGTATAACAAGGAACCTATCAGGGATTGATAGGGGTACGTTTTCATTTCTTCATCTGATTTTTCTTCAGGTAGTTTGAGTTTCACATTAGGATCCAATGGTGTAGATATTGATTTACAATTTGTCATTCCATATTTCTCCAGAAGATTCTTGATGAACTTTTTCTGTGACATCATTATTAATCCTTCTCTTCTTACAAATTCAATTCCCAGAAAATGATGAATCGGACCCATATCTTTCAATTCAAAAATGTTTGACAAATTTTCTTTCACATTAGTCATCCAAATGTCACTGTTACTTGCAATCATAATGTCATCAACATAGATCGCTATGATCAAAATTTGATTCTCGTTCTTCGAATGATATACACAGGGATCTGCATTTAGTGGTTTCATTTTCAATTTCTGCAATTCAGTATCTAATTTTTTATACCACTGTCTTCCTGATTGACGAAGTCCATATAATGCCTTTTTGATTAAACATGCGTTTTCCTTATCATTCGTTCGAATTTTCTGCAACCAAGTCTTGGATGTGTTTAATATATTGTTCTGAGCTGTTCCTTCTTCAATGATCTCTTCGAGGACTTCTTCGAGTAGATCTGGGATTCTCATGTATACTTCTTCCTCTAATTCTCCATTCAAATATGCCGTGACTACTGACTACGTCCATTTGATGAATTATCAAATTATATTCAACTGATAAAGCCATAAGTAGTCTAATTGAACTTGCTCTAACGACTGGAGCAAACGTCTCGTGAAAATCGATATTTTCTTGCTGAGCATAGCCTTTCGCAACCAGTCGAGCTTTTCTTCTTTCAATTGTTCCATCTGCATTGAATTTATTTCGCAGTATAAGTCTAGATCCAATCATTCTTCTATTCTCGGGTAAGTTTACTATCTCCCAAGTTTGGCATTTTATCTGAGCTATGAACTCACTTTCGATTGCCATTCTCCAATCTCTAGAATCAGGACCCATCAGAGCTTCTTCTAAATTTATTGTGTCAGTGACTTGACCCATTCCCGCGAATTCAGCAAACTGGTCATCATCATGTTGTGTCGTATTTGTTACCATCTTGTATTGTTTTCGTGGTCTACCTCTACATCCTGTTCTGATGATTGTAGGTCTTCCACGTCCTCTGGTCATTTCGCTTTCACCTTCATTTTCTGGTAGTTCTTCTTCCTCTTCATGAATGTTCAAGTTTTCTATTTCTACGTTTTCATCGGTATTTTCATTTGCCGTTTTGGTTTCTACATCAGCGATAGTTAATTCCAAATGATTTTTCGTACTATCATTCGATGATTTTGATAAAACTTCTTCCGAAATGAATTCATCATATTCTTCAGAACAGAAATTTTGAGTAAATTTGACGTCTCGACTGACAATGATTTTCTTGGTATCTGGATTATAAAGACGATATGCTTTACTTTCATTTGAATATCCCACGAAGATGCATTCACTTGAACGTGGTTCAAATTTTCCCTTACAGGGTGATTTATTTAGGACATATACCTTACAACCAAATATATTGAAATGACTTGCAGTCGGGCGTTTTCCGGTCCATATTTTATGAGGTGTTTCCCCTTTCAAACATCTTGTTGGACATCGATTCCTCACGTAATTCGCCATGTTTATCGCCTCTCCCCAAAAACAGTTAGGTAGCTTGGATTGTATCAAATTACATCTTGCCATTTCAACTAAAGTTCTGTTTTTTCGTTCGGCAACTCCATTTTGTTCTGGAGTATTGGGTACTGTGAGTCTTCTTTGAATTCCATTCACTACCAAGAAAGTTTCGAATGATTTATTGCAATATTCTCCTCCATTGTCACATTGTAGCATTTTTATTTTCTTCTCAGTATGATTTTCGACGAACATTTTGTATCGTTTGAAGGCATCAAATACTTCGTTCTTATTTTTCAAAAGGTATACTTCACACCATCTGGATTTATCGTCTATGAAAGTAACGAAATATCTTGCACCGCCCAGTGATTTGATTCTCATCGGTCCGCATACATCCGAATGTACGATTTCCAACAATTCACTAGTTCTTTCTTCGTTTCTTACAGGAAATGAGGTTTGTGCTTGCTTGCCTTTGATACAGATACTACATTGGGGTAATTTTTGATTCTTTGAGAATTTAACACCAAGAACAGTTTGATTTTCAACTATGTTTTTCAATGTTCTTTCGTTCAGGTGCCCAAATTTGTAATGCCATTCTACTATTGTTGATTTTGGCATTTCTTCAGTACTGCTTGCATTCGCCTCTTCTGGATTTTGTCTCAGGAAATATAGATCACCAATTCTGTCTGCTAAAGCCACTATGTCATTATGTTCATTCAGAATCATTGCTCCATTCTTACTGAAAAGAACTTCGTTACCATTGTTGGTTATCTTCGATACTGACATCAAATTTGTTCTTAGATCTGGCACGTGCAATGCATTTTTCAGTAACAGAGTTTTTTCTTTCTCTCCATCATTACTAACCAGTTTTATTTCTCCAATTCCTTTTATTTCCGTACATCCATTGTTCGCTAGATTCAATGATTTTGAAATATCTTCAAGGCATGTGAAATTATCTTTATTTGCTGTCATATGTGATGTACATCCGCTGTCTAAACACCAATCGCTTCCATTATTATTGCCAATGTTCAGTACGATTTCTTCTTCGATTTGGTCTTCATCTGCCTGACTAGCAATGTATTTATTGATTTTTCTTCTACAATTTGCGAATGTGTGTCCCACAGTATGACATCTATGACATTTGTATTTGAAATCACTTTTCACAGGTTCTTTTTCTCTTGAGGTATCCTTCTTGAAATAGTTCTTCTTTCCAGCGTACATAGCTCCTGATATACTTTCGTTGTTTTTGTCTTTCCTTGCTTCATATTCTTCGATTATCTTTATTTTGAGAGCGTCGGGTTTCGGTAATTCATCCCTGGATTCGATTGCGCATCTGAAATTTTCATATTCTTCTGGCAAACTATAAAGAAGCATGATAGCCAACAACTCTTCATTGATGTGAAGATCCATCTCTTGTAGTTTATCGACAATATCAAAAAACTGTGATATATGGCTTTTAACATCTCCATTTTCTCTCAACTTATTCAGAGTTGACTGCTTCAGCAATGTTGCTTTTCTAGCAGGGCCTTTTGATTGGTATATGGTTTCTAATTTCTGCCAAATTTCACGAGAGGTCTTACAATTTTTTATTTGTTTCAGCTCCATGGGGCTTATCGAAAGAATGAGATCAGATTTTGCTTTCTTATCCAGTATTTCCCATTTTCTGATATTTTCTTGAGATTCTTCATTTCCCACTATCAATAATGGTTTGGATATTGATCCATCGACGTATCCCCATAGATCGTTTTTCGTTAAAATTGCTTCCACTTGTAGTTTCCAAGTGTCATAATTTTCGTTTGTCAAAACTTCAATTTTCACTAAATTTCCACTCATAGTTACTTCTATATTCGCTTCGGTTATTCTGGGCCCATAACCTATTGTAACTTCTTGTAAAACTCGGTGAGAATATGAATTTGAAAATTTCCGTGTTAATTATTTATTTCATTAAATAACAACTGAACTAAAAAACATTTCCATCTCCATGACATAACATAAGAACTCATACATGTTGAAAACATCATCAATCTTTGATCTTCTCAACAAAAAATTCCTGTAAAAAAAGGCATAATACTCGAATTATGGTAGGGCGAGTTTTGTCAGACAGATAGGAAGTTTATACATCTTTCAGATGTACAACAGTGTGATATCATATAAAATAAGTAAACATAATATATTATTATATGCATGCAAAACAGAGATATGCATTGGTAAATAAGACAAGCATAATTATAGTGAGCTCAGGATTTTTGCAATCTAAATTTGTTTGGTCTGATATGAACACCTATTAGTAAATCTCTAGAAGATCAATAAATTTTGTTCATCTTCTTGGGACTATGATTGGGGAAGAGAAATAGACGTAAAATATTTTAGAAATGTTGCTGCTCATCAGCCTAGATCATCTCAACAGCAGATATATTTGAGGAAATTGGAAATTGCACAAAAATGGATTTAAAAAATTATTTATGGAATAGATTATTTTTTTCCAACTGAACTTTAATATAACGAATCTAAGAAAATGGATATGAATCAACTTTATATATACAATTTACTGATTCATATTTTCAAAAATAAAAAGGACATTCAGTTTAAAGAACATATCTATGGCATAAGAAATAAAAATAACATAACATTGAAATATGAAACAAACAAGTCAATTGGACGTAGAAATTATAAATTTTTAATCCTCTTACCTATATAATAAAATTCCAAATGATATCATAAAAACAAAATCACTACAATCCTATACGAAAAAAAAAAAAAAATTGGATACTAGACTGCCCTAAAATTGATTTTATCTCTTTAATTAACATTCAATAATATAATTAGAAAAATCTAAATAATAATTATTATGAATAAGTATGTATGAATATAAATAATTATGCAATTGAATGAAATGCTCAGTACACTATATATGAATTAAATACATGTCTCATTCCTTAATGAGACAATTTTTCCCTTGTGATAATTTAATATTGTTAAATATTATTTATTGACGTACATTTGTTTTTTTATACTTACTACAAGGTTCACTTCCTAAGGTTTTTCCCAGTTTATTCAAAATACCTATCTGTATGTTCCAATATATATTTTGTAAACGTTTTTGAATAAACTTATATTATTATTATTATTATCTCCGAGTCTATCTCAAACAGCGAAGCCGTTATCTCACTTTCCCACACTATTGGTTCACCCTGTATATCTCACAAATATATCCGGGTTTATTTGAAGATACAATTTAATTAGGAATTAAGAAATATAAATGATTCTCACATAAATTTGATATCACCCACATGTTCCATGTTATTGTTGACCTTCATGATGATATAACTTTAATAAACAAAAAATTACTTTTTTAGCTACAAGGTTCATTCCCACAATAGAAAATGACTACAATTGCAAATTTCAGAAAACAAGTTTATGCACTACTCGCTGGGCCCTTAAAAATTGGAAAATTGACAATAGGTCCCCGAAAACTAAAGATTTAATCACTGACACTAGATGGGAAGGTTTGTATTATAGTAGATTATGAATTAACTCAGGGACTAAAGAAGCACTTTTAATTCCTATGCGAAAATAACTTTAGTCCCTTGGTTTATACCGGGTGACACAGGAGACATATGTAACAGCCTATAGTTTCTTTAGTTGAAGAGATAACAATTTGAAATTCACAAGGGTTATATTTCTTTGAATCCAATGACATTTTTTTTCAACCACCTGTTTGATTGGAAGTAGACCCAACTTTTTTTTTTAAACGGCACCCTGTATATTTCTGTAGTCTACCTTATCGCCTTGGAATTCTCAATTCAACTATGTATCACAATTTGATATTCGTTCATTAATTGGCTGTTGAATTGCATTTTATTGAAATACATAAAGTTGGCATTTCGATATTATGGCACATCGGTTGATTTTTCAAACGATGCCATCTAGCGGCCACCGCAGGATTTGAATCGACTTGATTCGTGATTCATCGGGAAGATCTGAGAAAACCCTTCATAATGAGACCAAGATCGTTGAATTCCGTTACACCAAACTGTAGTAATAAGAGTTTTTCCTGGGTACTATTCATCCTTCCCTCCCTTTTTTATTTAAAGAGTTAGCTCAATTTTTGTTTATCGAAATGATTGGAAATCAACTCGAGAACATGGAAAAAGTGTTTCTGATATGTCTTGATATATAAAATTTTCATAATTTTAAGTTGGCCAATGCAATTATGCCCTCTAGCGGCTGTTCTGGAAACTTTAAAATAATTTCCAGAGATTTTTCTTGGCCATTTTTCTCATAAATATTTTTGTCCGAAACCTGTGCGGCAAATAGGTTCAGACTTCAGAGATACAGCTGGAGTCCTTTCTTTTAGTGGTACACCCGGTACATATACGCTAAATGAGATTATACAAGATTAAAAAAAAAGTTCAGTATAAGTAATATGAATGTCATTAATATAATAAATTGATTGTTGTTCCAGTTTTAAATTCCTTTGATTATAGTTATTTATGTATTAAGGGAATTATGAGGGCCTTAATTACCGATGGCAAAGTTTGCGTCCCGAGGGCCTCTGGCCCGAGGGACAGCAATTGCCAGAGGTTATTAAGGCTCTATAATTCCCGTGATACATAGATAATTTTATTTCTGACTGATTTCATTCATTAGATACCTTCCCGATTGGAAGTTAGACATGTTTTTCCGTATAGTTTCAATGTCATCAGAACGTCAGATGATGATCTTGACTACCGCGAATAGGAGATTCCTTATTGCTACGTTATTGCGTGGTTGTTGCTATGCATTTCTTATTTAATTTCAGCTAGAGGGAATTATAGCATCTATAACATCCCAAGGGAGTTATGACCCTCATTATAGATATCGTAACTATGACGATATAAGCTTATAATGTCACTGTCAGACATAAATTAATTAATGTAACACTTCCTCGATTAACCTACAGACAGTATCCATTGATTATATTCTTCGAGTACTTTTTGTTTCAGATTTTCCAACTATTTTCATTTCAAATACGTCACAAGAATTCTCATATAAATTAGAGCTCGACAGTGCCTTCAAAACTGGGTTTTCCGTAAGAGCTAACGGTCTCGTGGAAATTTTCATTTGCTCTGGACCAAATCCATACGAAAATTCTTGCCATTACTTCCACATTGACTTCAGGGAGATATATTACAAGGTGTTCCAAGTCTTACCCAAAGAAATGAAAGAAGAGTACAAAAATAATCATTTGGAACATTATAAAGTGAGTAGATATAAATAAGTACACACCTGTTTATCAACTTTTCAAGTCTACCGAATCGAAAGAGGTATAATTTTGCATCAATCAAAGATTGCAGAAAAATAATATTCAAATATGAATTACAAAAAATTTATCTTTTCCGAACGAAATAAATAGATTAATTGAAATTTTTTATTGTTGATGAATTATTCTTGAAAAAACTTGTTAATAGTTAGTGTATTGAAAGTAATGATAACTACCTATATACCAGAATTCAAATAGTGAAATTCTTGAATGTAGGAACACTTTGGGGCAATCATCGGACTTGTCCTTTCACTCAAACCATGCATTGTAATAAATAAAATAGAAAAGGACAGGAGTTATCAGCTGTGTCCGAACTCTCATCTAACTAATACCATCCAGTGATTCTACTTCACCCCATCCTTTGACAACTTTTTACAGGAATTAAATCTTTCGATTCGTTTTCGAGATATTGGCGTGCGGAGTTTTGAGTCAAAAACCCTGTATAACGATCCAATTCTGTCTCGATCAATATATAGAAAACCATAGGTGGGCCAAATTTGAAAATTTGGGAGTTCACTTTTGTTGATAAGTACTATCCGGTTAAAATATTTGGAAGATTGTGGCACTTCCGGCTGTTCCGGAAGTGGACGCCAACTTCGTTATTTTAAATGGGGCACCCTGTATATTATCAAGATTTTAGATTTTATAATGTCCTATAACCAAGTCTGACCGTTTTCGAAATATTTCAAATTTTAATTTGGAAATTGCTTTTGCAGAGCGAAAAATATTTTTTTTATGGACATGATCATTTATTTTCGATTGTATATCGATTCATTTATAGGAGAGGACCCAGTTCAGTAGAATTTCGATATCAATTCGATTACAGTTATACAGGGCGTTCACCAGAAAATGATATAGATCCGGTTGAAAAAATTTTTGTTAGTGAATTTTTTCAAATGAAAACCCCATAATTTTATATTCTCATTCGATTCGGCATCGAAAATGAAGCTAACTTTGAATGAGGTTATCTATGCCTACACTCAACAGTTTTCGAATGAGCCGGCATGATTGATTACAATGACATTGCCGTGGCAGTTGATTGTTTCCAACGCAACTGCGGTCGCCATGGCCAACTAAGAATAAGTAAACTCAAGAATACGAGATTTTCTGGAACTGAGACATGTTAATTCGCCAATATTTCGAAAACTGTTGAGTGTAGGCATAGATAACCTCATCCAGGTTTGCTTCATTTTCGATGCCGAATCGAATGAGAATATAAAATTGGGGGGTCTCCCTTTGAAAAAATTGACTTACAATAATTTTTTCAACCGGATGTATATCATTTTCTGGTGAACGTCCTGTATAACTGTTATCGAATTGAAATCGAAATTCTACTGAACTGGGTCCTCTCCTACGAATAAATCGATATACAATCGAAAATGAATGATCATTTCCATTAATAAAAAATATTTTTCGATCTGCAAACGCAATTTCCAACTAAAAATTTGAAATATTTCGAAAACGGTTTAACTTGTGTATAGGACATTATCAATCAATCAACTTTATTATTCCCAAGAAACAACATTTGTTTATAGCAGGGAACATGGTGAATACATAAATATATTTGACAAAATAAAATAAGACTCACACTCAAGTTCAACTGAAAATGATTCTCAATCGACTCAGCGTAAAATCTGAAACCTTGATAATATACAGGATGTCCCATTCAAAATATCGAAGTTAGGGTCCACTTCCGGTACAACCGGAAGTGCCACAATCTTCAAAAAAATATTCTAGCCGGATAGCACTTATCAACAATAGTGAACTCCCAAATTTTCAAATTCGGCCCACCTATGGTTTTCTATAAATTGATCGATGCAGTTCCCGGAGAGACACCCTGTATACTCCTCTAATTTTAGCTCGAAAAAATTGTTCAAGAGGTCTATTTTGATTTTCCGACATTCCTTGCAGGCATACTCGAACATTCTCTCTCAGGATGAATGGAGAAGCCTCATTGTCAGTTCGGATGGGATTGGTCACATTAAGCTCGCCGATGCGAATCTCAATCGAACGCTGATTGAACACAGAGAGATGGAATCGTTGACCCCTATGTATATGTTCGTGAGGAGCGCCAATAACAGCTTATGGAAAATACACCAAAGTAATTAACTACCCAACACAAATTTCCTCGCACCCCAAAATGTTGGACCTGTTTTAATGTGAATAACTTTTTCCTGTTTTGAACAATTTGAATTTGGTTCACACTCTTCGCTTGCCCAGTCTTTCAGCTATAATCTGGTACTTCTTTGAAATATAAGAGTCTTAACATAAAATCTCTACATGGTGTTCCCGACACTGTGCAAAATTTCGGAATATTCAAAAGGATCCCAAATGGAGAAAAAATATTTTTTCTCAATTTTTTGGTGTATGATGAATTGATATTCATCATGGGATGATAAACAGCATGCAAGATAGGGTCAATCAAGTGATTGCCCAAAGGGGAGGACCCACTAAATACTGAGTGTTATACACTACACTGTTTTACCACTAACCAAACCGATTTTTTAAACGCATCGACGCGTGTTTCGCTAACTATGTTAGCATCTTCGGGAGAAGATTCAAACAATATTTCTAAAACTACTGGTCTTTCTTCAAAGAATAATCGCGGGAACTTGCTTCCTATATTTTTATTTCAAGGGATCTATTATTGAATTTAGCCAGTGCAAGTTCTTCATTTGTTAGATATGTCACCACCTCATTAATTTTTCTATGTTGTAGATGAGTTTCTCTTCACAAATAGCACACAGACTTCAAGATTGGGTCCTCAGTTGAGTTTCACAAGTAAAGATCTATGTGTTTCTCTTCTCGTATCGACTTGCAGCAACTGTGAAATGACATTTTTTTATAAGAGTGGAACGACACTGAAGAAAGTAGGCCCCACTAAGGTATTCTCATCAAAGTAGTAAGAAGGTATGAAGGCGTAAAACGGACATGCAATATTTTTTCTCAATATCGTTGACACTATAGTTTTGTGTTACAATTTGAATGTACTAAAAAATTTGTGTTCTACGACTCTTGGTATGTGGATTGATGAAAAATTGAAATGGGGCAAGCATATAGAGGTTCTGATACAAAAAATATCTCCAGTCATTGGAGCTTTGCGAAGATGTCCTGAACTTGATAAGAAAATCATAAACATAGTACTTCATTCTCATATACTCAGTCGTATTACTTATCTGATAAACGTTTGGGGGGATTTTGATCAAAAAATTATTTCAATAAAATATCTGCACTTTATAAGAAATCTCTGAAGGGCTTATATCACAAAAAATTTTCATTTCATAATTCGATACAACTCACCCAAACTAGCTCACCACCGCAAACCGTTTCTTGCTGTGAGCTCCCTACGTTTTATAAAAAATTATTGGAATCCCCGATTTTCCGGACCTCTGAAAACGAGGCGATGATGTGACGTCAAAACCCTAATACTGAAACAAGACTATTCCAGAAAGAGATGAATGATACATGATTTCTGGCAGAGTGAATTAGCGCGAGATCACAGTTGAAAGAATTAATATATCAGTTGCCTCAGTCTCTGTCGGGCGTTTGGTATTTTCTTTCAACTATGGCGAGATGAGGTTTCTACGTCATAAGAGGGTCCGTTTTCAGGAGGTACTATTATTTATGTCCAAAAATAAAACATTCCAGTTAATTTTTCGATCCAATTATGTCGTCAATCATTATTTATGTATAAAAGAATCATTATAAACATGGTTTGAGTTGAAAGTTCTACTAAGGTGTACACGCCCATTGTATACCAAATGATCTGTATGCGATAACAGAAACATTTTCATTGAATGAATTGTAAAAAAAGATTCTGTTAAAGTTTCATATAATATCATAAGCAAATATCTGAAATCCAATTTTGTTTTGATAAGAAACTTAGAAATTCATGGTCATCACACGAGACAAACTTATTTCATCTTGATTCTAGTACTTCTATAATTGTAAAAAAAAAAAATTACTCACGCTGCTCTAGCTGAATTCAATAAATTTATAATTGCATTAAAAAAAACATGATTTTATTACGAATTGGATAAAATTGGTACTTTGCCATCTACTGACTAGTCCCTGTTGCTGTTTCTATGATTTGATCGATTTAGCATTTTCAGATTTTTGTTGTTGTCACCTTATGTTATTCTGTTATTGTTGTCTATAATCAACTTTCTCATACCAGAATTTCATTTCTGACTGGAAGCTATTTTCTCGATAAACAATAAACTCTAAATTAGCATTAATTTCTAAGGTGTAACACGGAATTAAAAAAAAATAACTCATGTTCGTTCGACGTCTTCGTAAAACAGTTTTTATTTTCTTAAATTCACAAGTTTTAGAATGGTGACTGGACAGAAGTGAAACTCAAAGATGAAAATGTCGAATTTGACTCTGTCAATATTTTTGTGGAGACAAAATTTGTTGACGATACTCAAAAAATACCAGGCTTCTGGGCAATCGATGATGTAAGAGTGTGCAACGAAAATGGTGAGTATTTTTACAAAATATTTACTTAAGTTAGGTTTCGTTTGCTGGATGTTTTATTTTCAGAGGTTAAAATAACTCGGCTGGAATTCAACAAAAGGTCTGCGAATTTGTCTGATGAAAATATTTCTTGTCAGCTGGTGAGGAAACCAAGCTGGAAGCCAAAAAAATTGACCTACAGTAACATGAGAAGTAAGTATAGTAATTATTGCTGTGAGAAAATTAGAAATATCGGTGCTTTTTTTTTCAAGAATTCCCTGATGATGTTTCAATTTCGAGCAAAGCGAGTTCTCTACTATTAAATTGGAAAGAAGAAGATCCAGAAAATCAAATAACTTATTTTATATCTTATCAAGTAATTAGTTGAAATGTAGGTATTCATTGAAAGACGCAATATTGATAATCTCAATAATTTCAGGCAAATTCCTTGAATGATACCAAATGTACTAAAAAAGCGAAGGATTTGAATCGGCTGAAATCGAATGGCTTCGTTAGAACAAATATAAATGAACTCATTTTGGAAAATCTGGTACCATATACTACTTACACTGTCAATATTTCAACTGCACTGCATCCAAGAGACAAACTGCTGCTAGTCAGTACCCAACCAACAGGTGATTTTATTCTTTTCAACCTATTATCGAAATAGTTATTTACCTAACAAGTGCGGAAATCAGTACCTTTCCACACGCGACGACAGTGGCACGACGCGAAAAAGTAACTTTTCAGCACTAGTGCGGTGAAGTAACTTTTCCGCAGGATATTTTCATGGACTGAAAAATAATTAAATAGATTTTTTTCATCGATATAATAGGAAACTTGAACATACATTCTACCAGTATATCACCTGACGAACTATTGTGTAAGCGAAAGATGCTGTGTGTTTAAGAATTTTGTGGAAATCTTATCGGTGGTAAAGTTTTTCTGGCTGAGTCTTGAAAACACCTACATTAAAATTTGGAGTCAAATCAAATTTTTATTGTTTCTTCAAAAACTAAGCGAAAAACACACAAAGGATAAAAAATGTGTCATTTCAATAGTTCAATCTAACAAAAATATGAAACTCAGAAAAACCGGTGGTGTACAGGGTGATTCACCATAAATGTCCTCCCCCCCTCGAGCTCAGCTATTTTTGTACAGATTTCAAAATTTGAAATATCATCTCAAATGATTTTCGATAAAGTTTTTTTCCGCTACATCAAAAAATATAGGGTGCTCGGAACAAATAATCTGCAGGGTACTATTTGATTTTTTTCAATGGAACACCCTATTTTTCATTGTATTTTTAGATTCTTACCGAAGAGCTGATTTGATCAATGTATCACACTTGGGGTCTAGCGAGAATGATAACAGAGATATAGGGTGTTCAAAATCGAGATTTTTCAACTTTAGAATTTTTTTGTGACGACGGTCAAAACGGCTTTCATGTCCGTATCATAACAGATACAGGGTGATCAGAATTCTGAATCTTGAACCACCCTGTAAATGTTCCAATTAAATGTCAGTAGATAGTAAATCAAAAGTTGAGATGGGGACATAGAAATATTTCTGTAATTATTCCCGCTAGACTCCCAGTGTGATATATCGATGAAATCAGCTCTTCAGGAATAATCTAAAAATACAATGAAATACAGGGTGTTACATTTGAAAAAATCAAGTAGTACTCTCTGTCGATTGTTTGTTTCGAGCACCCTGTATTTTCTGATGCAACGGGAAAACAATTTCTGAAAAATCATCTCAGATTATTTTTCAAATTTTTAAATCGTTTCAAAAATAAGTGAGCTAGAGGGGGGGGGCATTTATGGTGAATCACCCTGTACAATGACATTCACCATGAATATCGATAAATTTACCCACTGTGACGCCACTGGAAATATTATTTCGAATCTAATTTCACTAGAAGGAGCTCCATATTACTATTCGCGAAAATCACGAAGTGTGCGGCCTCTGGTGGCTAACTGTACAAGTCTTGCGAGTATGAACAACAAATATGGCGACCATTGTTTTGAATTTCATAAATATGTGTTTTATTTGAAAATAATTTATTTGTTGAAGTGCATATTCCAGAATCTCATTTCTCCCTGATGAAAAAACTCGAGTTATTGCATGCACTTTTATTGTTTACAATGAAGAAACCAGTACCTACCTTATAATAATATAATATACATTTTCTGAAGCACAATTAGAATCATTGTATAAATGTTGGTTGCAATGATTCGATCTTGAGAATAACTTCAAGTCCTCAATTGCTGGAGATCCTTGTTTATAAATGTAAATCGATGATATTGTTCATTCTGAGCAGCCTCTCCAACCATAATATCTTCTTTCCCAACCCCTTCACTAAAATTCCATCTCCTTCATAAAAGCCAGTGATATTTCTTGATGAATTCAATTATTTCTTCATACCTATACCATATTGTTGTAATAGCTGATTGCTTGTATGGTTCCATTCCAGTCCATGCAAGTATGTTGAGTGGACCATTCCGATCGTTCCATATGTTTGAAAACTGTGGGATTGTAGTGTGATATCAATGATGAATACCACCATTGTCCATATCAAAATGGCAATTTCTCTGCACAAAAAGTAATTTTTTCCATACTGGAAACCTTGTACGTATTTCAAGAAGTCAACTTATTATTCACTATTTTGCAAAATGATTTGGAAATGACCATTTTGCAATGAGTGCATACGGCAATGTTTTTGTTGTTCATACTCAGTTGAAAATTTGACATATAATAGAGCCATCTATTGGTTCGTGATTTTCGCGAATTAATAAAACCACAACGCTGTATTGAAATTGATGAAAGGACAATTGAGAAATGAATAGAAGAAAGATTTTTCATGGAAATTTTAATACCCTGTATTTCGAAAACGAAGCAAGTTATAGGACACATGTTTATATGTACTTCATTTTCTAAAATATCACAAGGAATCCCCCTTGAATTTTTTCGGTGTTTTTGAAAATTTTATGAAAATCTTATCGTTTCTGAAGTTTTACAACCATTTTCTCCTGATTTAGTGGAACTAAGTCTGGAAGAATTGCCGTCCAATGTTGGAATAAAACCATCCCAGAAATCTGTGAACGTTTCTTGGGACAAGGTTGATTGTTCCAAAAAATTCGGCGATTTATTCTATCAAATTGACGTGGGGCAAAAGGAGATCAAAGTCGAAGATTCAGGCATGGACATCAATCAACAACGAATAGATGGTTTGGAACCGAACAAACGCTATTTATTCACTCTTTATACTGCCAGAAGTGCACAAGGACATTCTACTGCATATAATCTGAAATTTTCCACGTTACCAACAGGTAAGAGCTTAGGTGAAAAATTAGAAAAATAATTTCTCAATATGCCTTTGTGAAAGATTCCCTCGAAAAATTTACCTCTTTTTAAACATGTTCAATATCAATCAGCAGTTCATTAAATCAAATGAAGGTAATGGAGAAATTGAAAAATACGTTGTCACAGACTTTTATATCAGTGTACAGAATGTTTCCAAACATATTTTTCAACAGGATATAGATATAGATAAAGTTGCGTAATTGGAAGCTATTCCATAAGACGTTTTGCAATTTGAAAACATGTCAGCTGTTCCTGAAATATTTCGGGAAAACTGAAAATCACTGATTCCGTTTCTATTTATTTTCTTGATTATTATCAAAGGAAAAAATTGGAAATTTTTGTTTAATCCGATAATTAATCATGACAAAGAAGTTGGGATTGTCAGAAATATTCATCTTCGTTAGTTTCGGAGATTTACCATGCAACTTTTGTTTTTTCTTGTGGGCGCCATGTTTGTTTTTTATACCATTGAATAGAGCTGAAAATTCCCTTTATAGGCCCGGTCGTGCATAAAAGCTTTGAATAAAAGTTATTTTCCGTGCTGGGTCCGTTACTGTTGGCTCTGGGAGATATGGATCGGAAATTTGTTCAGTTGAGAATAAGTTTAATTTTGTTCGTGACACTTGAAATCCCGGCTTTTCCAGTGGCGCCACCTGTAGAAAATCTGGAACTCTACTCCATCGACAAATACTCGGCTTCGTTGCGATACGAACTAACAGCCAATCGCGAAGGAGTGGCCCAAGAAGTGCAGATCAGCAGGTGCAACAGCCTCTCCTTCAAGAAGTGCAGGTGTGTAGATCCACTTGTACATCTGTATTTAAAAAAAAGCGTACAAGTATATTACACAGAGAAATTCAAATGTTGACAGTAAAGTCGTCATAGGTTCTCAAAAAATTAATGTATGACAATAGGGTACTGACACCAATACACTTTTGTCATACATTAATTTCAACATACCTACCACGTATGACGTCCAGATCTAATTTAGCATTTCATTCGAATATACCAAATTCCTTTCACCACTACTACTCACTCTCCTATTAACACAATGTGTAGACAAACTAATGATTTATGTAATGTAGACATATTTTTCTTGAACATCAATCAATATATTAGACATCTACATGTGACATTACCTAATTAACTGATTCACCTTCAGTATGGATTGAATTATATAGTTCAATCTGCTAGATGTGATAAAATAAAATAAATAAATAAATGAATAAACACACAAAGTATTAGCTGGGCCAGTTTTACACAACTAGAACTAAGAAGCCAGCCGTAAACCTCTCTTTTTAGCACTTGTAGGCTTTTATATTGAATACGACTGTGCAAAAGAGATGTTGAAAGATAAATCAAAAAATAGAGAACAGAGAATAAGGAATAGAGAAAAACCGTGAACTCTGGTTAGATACGTAAAGTAGTTGGATAACATTTAAATTTTAACAATAAATTATTATCATATGTTCGCTTGAATTGCTTGTTGCAACCTGTGAAAGTTCCAGCTGCTTGGCAGTCACTGTTACTCCCTTGGCTAACTTGAAAGTTTTTACTTCGAATAGATCCGGCTCGAAGGACCAATATGTTCGATGCCAATAGATAGTGGAAATCTTATGTTTCAAAGACACATAGTCATGTTAACAACCATTGAAAATCTCTCATACTATACAGGGTGATACAAAGTATCAAACTGTTATATAGGTAGTAAACACCATGTGATGCTAACTTTCTGATTATTATTTCGGGGCATCTCGTAGGTCTTCGATATCGCCGGTCAGGCCCTGCACGCTGTGGCCAGGCAAGTACTGCGCCGAAGTCGATTATCTGATACCATATCAGGCGTACTTGTTCAAGGTGGCTGTCAAAAACCACAATACGCCGTCGTTCGGGAAAGAAGTTAGTGTCGATGGTTTCGCCAATGATAGGGGTAAGCACACAATTTTTCCTTTCACTTGATTATTTGGGAAATATGAGTATTATTTCAATATATGTGTATTAGGACAAATCAGGGATTGCAAGAGATCCCATACCAGTCGAGATGTCACTTCCTGACTTTCTATTGCCTTAAGTGCCGCTTGACTGTCTGACATAATACGGATCTGCTCGTTTTCCACAGCTCTCCTTTATTGATATTTTATATTGATTCGTCCTTTCACAGGAAAAGATAGTGTATTAAACACGGAAAAATATTAGATTTTAGCTCACACGTAGCATTATGAATGAATTAATGTAAAACATTTCTCACTAGCCATTTAATGACACTTTGGTCCCATTTTTTTCACTTTTAGTTCCTGGTAAACCAACGAATGTGGCTTACAAAATGGTGGACTGTCACATAGCATTCGACTATTGCAGTTTGAACATAACATGGCTGCATCCGTACAACCAAAACGGCACTATCACGTCCTTCGAAATCATCCTGAATCACACCGACCACAGGAAAGACCCGGAAGACTTGAAATTCGTACACGGAGTGTACAAAGTCGATAATAAAACTTATTATCGTGACTATACTTATCAGGTTTGTAATTTCAAGTCCATATGAAAAACATCGTCCTTAGAATCCATGTTATGAACATCCACACACACATCCTGAAAATAAATTAATATAGTTTTTCTGAGAATCGATCTGAACCATTTTCAACTTACCCATGAAGGACAATTTATGTCTGTCTTGCATGTTTTGCATTCAAAGGCAACACAATATAAATAACCATTGTTTATTAATTCGAAATCACAAACATTTTCAACAACAATCAATTTACAACAACAAATTCAGTCCTATTGAAGTAACAAAACACCCCAAATTTAGCGATATTTCACATAACAAAGAACAATGAAGTTCTGTCTTCACTTTTTTTGCCTGTTTAGGTAAAAAAAAAGATCTCAAGTACTCCAATTATTGGATAAAAGAGAATGTATGCACCAATCCGTCATTAAATAACACGAGTGTGAAAAAGACAGGTTACCATAACACAAGCTACCTTCGTTGCAGCTGCCCCTGACACACTTTGTGCTATTCGAGAGAACGGCAGTCTCCCTTTCAGGTGTTTATATTGAGTTCATTGATTTCAGGTGAAGTCCCTACCGTACAGCACGTATTACAATCTCTACCTGAGGTCTGTCAACGATGCCTACAAGAGCGATTTCTTGGTAACCACCGTGAAAACCGACAGCCTCGGAGAGCACATCGACCAAAGCCCGAAACTGATCGCCAAGAGCGAGTCGACGCTCTTGTTCAAAATTCCCTACATCGACAGCAGGCTGCAGGAGTACACTTTGACTGTGGTCGTGCAGGATTACAACAAGTCCAAGTCCATCCAGCAGGAGATAGCCAAGAACCGCAGGGTGTCGGATAATTTGTGTCATTCGTACGGGAATACGTGGGTTTCCCAAGTGATTAAGGTGAGATTAAAATGTTGGGCATGAATAGAATATAAGGTAACAAGTGTTAGAAACGTCATTAGAGTATCGAGTATTTTAATAAACGAGTGTCTAGAAGAGTTTATAAACGCGTTACATCCCAGGCAACCAGATGACGAATGATCACGTCACTGTGACGTCCCTAATTGGTAATTTTTTGTCAGAGACGTCACACACCAATTTATGACGTCACTATGACGTACTTTCTATGACGTGATAATCACGTCATCGTTTCGACGTCGAGTGGACGTCACTTAGATGGGTAAAAGAAGACGTCAGTTTCATGACGTTGCAGGGACGTCCTGTCGACGTCCATTTTTCCCAGACCTTCTCTAAACCATGAATATTTATATATTATCATGTGAAACAGGGAAGTATAACTCATGAAAGCAAATCAACATGCAAGTTTTATTCTAATTATTGATATACCCGAAAAGTAGTAGAAAAACTTTTTTCTAAAAAACTTTGACACACTGTATATCTCGGAAACCAACAAGCTATGTACATATAAAAATGATTGTTTAGGTATACCTATATTGAAACCGTTATTCTTAAGACGTTGCAGTGACGTATCTATGACGTCTAAAAATCACGTCGGTGTGACGTACCAATTAGGTAAGCTTCGTCATTTTAGTAAATTTTTCGATAATTTGCTATTTAGATAATAATCCCAGTAAACATTTTTTTGTTTCTGAAATGTTTCAGAAACGTAGTATTGATGCATGAAACATTGCATTCAAAGTTGCCTACATGTTCCAGAAACATTCCAGAAACTAGAGATGTCCGCCCTCAGGAATGTGTCATGGTAATGTTCCTAAATAATGTGTCGAATACGCAAATTGAAACATTTTGGAAACATTTCTACCATGATCATATCCTGTAGGAATGTTCCATGCAATATTTCATAAATATTTCTTTCGTTATATTACATGAAATGTTTCAGAAATATTCGTGAAACCAAAGATATTTGCCCTCAAAACTGTTTCATGAAAGATGTTTCGAATACAAATGCTTGAAACATTCTGGAAACATTCCCAATATAATTAGATCTTTAGGAATGTTTCTTGGTACATTCCATGAATATTTTTGAAACGATAAATTTTCGCCACCAGAGATGTTTCATAAATAATGTTTCAAATATATATATATATATAGAAACATCCTGGGAACATTCATTGTAGAACTTTCGGGAATGTTTCATGAAACATTTCATGAATGTTTTCCATTCAACAATATTACTGTTTATGAAACATTCCCATTGAATGTTTCAGAATGAAAAATACCTACCAATATCGCTGGAATATATTCATATTGCTGGTGAAATAAAAGATAATAGATATAAAAAAATGGATTATATTGCTTATATAATGATATATGAAAAAAGCAGTTAAAAAAGTATCATCAGATATTTCACATAATCACGACGTATTAGGTATGTACATATATATCAAGTAATTTAAGTATTTTTCTTCGGTTACATCGCAATTGAAAGCACTATTCTTGTGCAGCTTCTAAGTCATGATGAAATTTTCACACTCCATCCTAGAACAAAAAGTATCATTATGAATATACCCATCATGATATCTAATAATATTTGATATTTCATCTGAAATTATGGTTTTTCTATATTTATACGTACCTCGGCCTTGTCCATGGAGCCGTTGAATACATTTCAAAGTCCAGCCACACCAGGTGATGATAAAAAAAATGGAGTCGTTTGTGTTGTTTGTTTGGTTGCAAGTTTTGATGTTACTTCACATGGCCTAAATCACCTAAGAGGTCTACCGGTACGATTAAATAGTAAACACTCGAAAATGTGTTTGACTTGAGTGAAATAATTTTTATATTTTATCACTATTATAAGATATTAGATGTCCTTTGCTTGGCTTGAGACAACAGTCGGAAAGCGAAAACTGCAAAGCCTTTCACCAAGGAGAAGGAAACTGAATGCGCATGCGCGAACGCTTAGAGCCGAAGACGGGAACCCGCGATCGATTACCGAAGCCACGAAAGCGGCGGCTGTAGAGGGGAAATGCTGAATTGCATCATAATAATATGATAAAATGCTTGGTCAAAATAGACCATGTAATAGTTGTGAAATAATCTAATTAATTTATTGAAATTCGGGTTATTTTGAAATATTCTTAAATCAACCAATTCAAGTTGCATGTCTTGGAATATTGTAGTAGGTGAGTAATTCCTATTAAATGTGTCAAAATGTCAATAATTTGAGGAGCCTTGGAATTTTTCAAACATATTCCTAACGCATTGGAACATTCCTGAATCAGTATTGAATGATATGTTTCAATTGAAGTGATTTTGAAACGTTTCATTAATTAATCATTCAAGTAATTTTGGAATGTTTCTTAATATATCAATTAAAGTTGTCTTGAAATGTTTCAGAAATGTTGCAATAATATTGAAATATCCCTGGAATGTTCCTGATGAATGTTTCCATTATTCAGAATGAGAGTAATATCGAAATGTTCCAACCATTTGAAATTCAGGTGATTTTGAAATGTTCCTTAATCAACCAATTTCAGTTGTCTTTTGATATTGCAGTAATTCGCAATAAGAGTATATTTGGAATGTTTCAAAATTTCTATAGTTTGATGAACCTTGAAATGTTCCAAACATATTCCGAACGCATTGGAACATTCCTGAATAAGTAGAAAATGATATGTTTCAATTATTCACAATTGAAGAAATTTTGAAACGTTTCATTTATTAATTATCCAATATATTTTGAAATGTTTCGGAATATATCAGTTGAAGTTGTCTTGAAATGTTTCAGAAATGGTACTAAGATTTTGAAATATTCCTGGAATGTTCCTGAAAAATGTTTCCATCATTCAGGATGAGAGTCATATCGAAATGTTCCAATCATTTAAAATTCAGGTGATTTTGAAATTTTCTTCAATCAAGCAATTCAAGTTGTCTTGAAACATTGAAGTAATTCGCAATGAGAGTATATTTGAAATGTTTCAAAATATCAATAGTTTGAGGTACCTTGAAACGTTTCAAACATATTTCGAACGCATTGAAACATTCCTGAATAGGTAGTAAAAAATTATATGTTTCAATTATTCACAATCAAAGTTATCTTGGAATGTCAATCATTCACTTCACAAGTAATTTCGAAATGTTTCGGAATATATCAATTATAGTTGTTTTGAAATATTTCAGGAATGTTACAGTGATTTTGAAATATTTCTGGAATGTTCCTGAAAAATGTTTTAATCATTAACATTTTAGGTAATCTTGAAATATATCATAAATGTCTCATGTTTACTGGGATATAAGGATTTTTTTTTATGATATTGAACATACCAATGCTGAAATATAACTTACCATTTCTGAAATTGAATCCCAGGTAGCACATCATATTGGCTGGAACCCGATTTCATATTGGGCCGATATAGATATATCGTACATGTGAAAAATAATATAGGTCCAATATGAGAGTATATTGGACAAACAATATTGGAATGATAATATTGGTGGAATATTGGTTCAACCTGAGCTGAATATGGATTGTCAGCTACAATATTGGAGCAATATTGGTTGTAAAATTTGTTAACAATGTGTTGAAAAACATATCTATGAATGTTATATAATATTGTTTTACGAATGTCGATACAACAACATCGTATACATATTGTACTCGACATTCACAACCAATATTGCAATTTGAACATTCTCCCCATGTCGATTCTGAAGCGGTTATGCAATATTGTATTTTCAAGTTAAACGGCATATCGGTTGGATATTGTTTTAACAATATTTGAAACATTATATTCACCCATCTCGATTGATATCATTTTATCTATATCATGCAGAAGATATCGTATACAATTTGCTTCTTACATTTATAACCAATATCGCGATTTGAATATTGTCCCCATGTTGATTCTGAAGCGGTTGTGCAATATTGTATATTTGAGTTCGACGGCATATTGGTTGAATATTGTTTCAACAATATTCGAAATATCCTATTCACCTATCTTGATTAATATCATTCTATCCATATCATGCGGAAGATATCGTATACATATTGTCTCCAACAATTATAACCAATAAAGCAATTTGAACATTCTCCACATATCGTTTCTGAAGGGGTTTTCAATGATTCAAATATGAATATAAATAACGGCAATTCAATATGTATCTCATATCGGACATAGAAGAGAAAAACAATATTGTATTTTCAAGTTCAATTGCATATCGGGTGAATACTTTTCTAGCCATATTCTGAAAATAATATCATCTTATATTGGCTGATATGTGATTCACTATATCATGTAAGCAATATTGTTCACATATTGTTTTGAGAATACATATCGATATCGGAATTTCGATATTTATTCCATATTACGCACTCCTAAACCGATGTCGATAGATGGCGCTATAAATGATTGGTAACGTACTCTCATTGCCGATCCGACGAGAGAATTTAAATATTGGCTCTAGACGATTGTGAAGTATTATAACCTGGAGTAGGGGTTAACCGTGATCAACAAGGCGGCTTCCCTAGGGCAAGGCCCTCCCATTGCACTCCGGCTGGGCTGACCTTTGTGATTATTCCTGATGCGAATAACTCGCAAATATTGGTATGAAAATATTCTACCAATATTTTGACGACAACATAGCTACATAATGATTTTCAATAATGTACCAATATTCCCAACCAATATTGCACCAATATAACTTCACGAATATACCAGCAATATTGGTATGAGAATATTCAACCAATATTCCTGAGACAACATACCTTCATGATGATTTCCAATGATTCACCGATATTTCCATATATTACACCAATATTGCCGAATGTTCACCATCAATTTCTCGCCAATATTGATATTACATTTTGTGTCCGATATTACTCTACGAATATTCAACCGATATTAATATGAGAATATTCTACCCACATTTGGAAACTGATATTGTACCAATATCGCCGAATGTTCACATTTTTTTTCTCGCCAATATTACTTTCACAATATTTTGCCGATATTTTCGTAATATTGCACCGATATTGTCCCAATATATGTGTGCTACTTGGGATGGACTTTTTCTGAAATTCATCTCACCGATTCTGAAATTGAGTTTACCATTTCCGAAATCGAACTAACCAATTCTGAAATCGAGATTACTTTTTCGGAAATATAACTCACCGATTCCGAAATTGAAGTTGAAAAGGTATAGAAATCAAAAAACGCAAGTCGAAAGAAAGCTCAAAATTATCTCCTTGTGATGATTTTTGGTTTTCCTTTACCTTGAAAGAAAAAGAACTCGGTCTTTGAAAATTGACAAAAAAAGGTCTATATCTTTTTCAGGTACAGACTAATGAGAGCAGGAATGTTATCATTGGAGGTACGGCCAATGAAAAACTGAACCCATTGACCAAATATTGTCTGATTTTTATCATCACAAACCAATACAAAGGTTCAACACATGATGTGGTTTATTATGAAAGGCTTCAAATGCCTGAAGCAGAAGTCAAACCTAAAGAAAATGCATCCAGCAACTCTTTCAATCACTTGTACATGCTGCTACTCTTGCTGTTATTGGTTCCTGCTGGTTTTCTTCTCTACAGGTAAGAATCAAATGTCTTATCGTTATCATTTCACTTCTTTGGTAGTACAATACAAATTGAAATGTGATTCGGATGTCTTCGATCGGTACTTTGATTTATATAATACTAGCCTTATTAGAACCTATCATTACTTGTACTTTTCAAGTCAGAGTATCTCACTACCAACGTAGTTTTTTCATTTTAATACTGGTTCAGACATAGTCATACATTATTATTCTGAATTCTCATTGCAATCTGATATCCACATTCCCAACGTGAGCCGAAATGTAAAAGAAGCGTAATGAAAATATATAAAAGTTCAACTATTTGAGGAAGACAAACTCATTATAAATCGATTATCTTCCTCAATGACGACTGGGCAAATAGGAACAACAGACTTCTAACATACAAGCAGGTGGCTGAGTAGCTGAAATCACAGAGTTTTGAAGTTGGCTGTCAAAGCTAGCGGCAGAAGTTCGTTCGGAACTATTAATGACAGATAATATGGAAATGTGTCAACATCTCAATCATTATTCATCACCATATTGAAAGTAGGAACTGTTTCTATATTATGGAAATGACAAAGTATTTTGAAGAATGATTTAATTGCCAATTCAGCGTTATCTTACACATTGGCACAGTCGGTAGGAGTCATTCAATGTAGTAGTGTGGGTATTTTATTACCAAATTGGAAAAATAATTTCGATCATTTTAAGTGATGTTGGAGAAGTTCCCATCACTCGCAGAAAAATGATATCGAAATATGAATGTCAATAGAAGCCATTCATGTAGATACCAATGTTGAGAATGAGAGTACCTATCAAATTGATACAAATTCAAATCTATTATAATTTTATAAGCTGGCAAACAGTACCAAAATTTAATGTGTATACCTAATGCTTTTCCAGATGTTTTCAGATAATTCTAGAATATGAAGATAAGATATATTGAATTAATGAAGTGCTAGATTTTTTTTTGTCATTGGAAAATAACCATATCACAAACTATTTCAATCTGAAAACATTTGGAATTAAACATGTTGTTTCAATTGGAGACTATAGTGTTGTTAATCTAATTATTATGTACTTTTCTAGTCCATAATAATTTATCAATGGATATGGTACGTATGGAACGTTTGTAGTTGAAATCAGTTTTTTATCCTTATAGCTGCTTTCAGCATACATACAAAGAAACTGAACTGACTCTTATGAAATAGAGTATGAATAATTCAGATGTATGAAAGTCATTTTAATTTCTTTGTATAAACGCTAGTTTTGCACGTTCTAATATAAGCTTTCAATCATAAAAATACCCTAAATTTTAGGATATAATGAATATACATTCCAAAAACTGTTTCCTATTATTGAAGAAATATTCTTTCATATTTCATTTATTCTTAGATGATAACAGCATTCATTATATTTGCAAGGTGTTACGAAATTAGTGTGTAGGACCGAAAAGTATAAAAAAACATCATATAAACATAGACCTTATGAAAAAATGTCTCTCGAAGAAGATGCGATCTTCCCTGAACACAAACAAAAAAAACTGTATCTATTAAAAAATATATTACTCAGGTCTGATTAGATTTGACAAAACTTTCAAACATCCTTTTTTTGCAAGAGAAGTTTATAATTCATTAGGGAACATGTCGATACATCCACATTTTTTACTGCCACATCGCGTTGTTCCCACATTTCGATACACCCACAGTTTCTGAACATACTTGAAGGACGCACTGTTGCCAAATACTATCGTATATGCCAGAATTCACGAAAAGTCATTTTGAGCCTATCGACACATTGTGTTACGTCTACATCTCGTTACACCCACATTACTCCTACATTTTGATAGGCCCACATTTCGTTTTCCTCACATTTCGATATTCCCACAGTCTCAGAACCATACCCGAACTGTTGCCGCACTGTTGCCATATACTATAATATGCGTAATTTTCCGAAAAATAAACTTGTTAGGAAGAAGGTTCATTTAGGCTGAGTTAGGTTAGATTGTTTAAAAAAGTAGTCTCCCTTGTTCCCTCAAGTAATTTATCGAAAAATATACTTTTAGGACGGTTCATTTAGGCCCAGTTAGGTTTGATTGCTTTGAAAAAGTATAGTATCTTCTGCTCTCTCAAGTAATTTTCAGAAAAATATACTTCCTAGGAAGGAGGTCCATTTAGGCTGAGTTAGGTTAGATTGTTGAGAAAAAGTAGTCTCCTTTCTTATGCAGGGAGGATATTTCCCTTCCTTATATTACGTATTCGGAATTCAGGGAGCCATTGTGCAGCTCGTTTGCCAATTATGGAACCTCATAAAGGTAGTTTTCTGAATGTTGACGTACAGTTTATTCAAAGAGTACCATTCACTTATATCATCAAGAACCTTGTTGCATTTCAATTCTAACAAGTCATCATTTACCTCAGATACAATTATGAAGATGTATCATCTGCATACATCACAAGTTTGGCATCCTTTGTTCCCGTTTCGATGTCATTTGTGAATAATATAAAGAGCACCGGTCCCAGGACTGATCCTTGAGGTACACCTATGTCTATAGTTGCTCTACATGCGACTGTACTCTACACGACCTATCATTATTTGTTTTTGCTATGGATACAAACTGACTCCTCGTTACAAGAAAGGCATACCCAGTCCCAGTACTATAGTTAAACGCTTGTACTATACAATGTGGGCCTAACGCACAATGTGTTACACCCACATCTGGCAAAAGTTGATCCTTCGGGTATGTTCAGAGACTGTGGGAATAAAGCAGCGCACCCATTCATTATCCTGAGATAAAGTCTTGAATAATTTCACATCCAGAACAATAACTGGAATTTTCATTTCCCATTGTAGAAGACACTGATGAAGTGATGAACTATCGTTCGCTAATTTCGTTACACCCTGTAGTAGTCGCCTGTTGAAGAATGTGAGCTCAAAGAATGTAAAAACACGAGCGTCTCCCGACACAACCATCTTGGCACAACCATCTTGGCACATCCAAGGTCAAATATGATTTGTGATATGTAGGCCTTTACATCTAGATCTATTTTTAAGACGCATGCGCTCGTTTTCAGATCCAAGAGTTTATTGGGTAATGCGAAGATGAAGCCTCATTGGCTATAGTTCCAACACAAAATGCTGATTGGCCATATCGAATATGACGGGTATTATATTGACGTTCTGTCAATTGTCAACAGTGTCAATCACCATGGGCATTCGTCAACAATAACAATAATTTAATTTCAAAAAACGTTACTTATTCGTTATTAAAATGGCCGCCACTGTCGTTGGATGCGAGATGTAAACAGAGATAGTCATTTGTCATCTAAATGAAAAGGCCTATTATGTCAAGTGGTGCAAAATATTTAGATTTTTTTTGAATAGAGGATTCGGTTAGCGCGTAGAAGTCGTAGAAATTATATTTTTCAAATGAGTATATTTTATAATTTTATATTCGGAATGGAGGATATAAAAAGGAGTTGTGAAGTAATAATCGGTATGTGTGATGCATCAATGTCCCTATCTGAAGAACCACATCGATATATTCTGAATAATTGCGATAAAATTATAGACACAACGAATGAAGAAAGGACTATTCATTTTGAAACAAAGCTAATCTTTAATAACAATAAAAAACAGTGAAGCAAGTGCGTCTATTTTCTACCAAGAAGAAAAGAACCAAAGATGCTTTAATATTCAAAAAACCAAGTATTCTTGAGCAAAAAGATATAATCGGTAGTCTTCTAAATAAAACTGATTTTAGGATTTCTTCATAACCTATTCATAAAAGATAATGTTCTAGATCGATAGTTTATTGATGTATTGAACATTTATTTGTCTGGAACTTATTACATTTTTTATTTGTACTAGAATTAATAGTCCTACGTCTAATTGATTTTCTTTGTAAGTATATCCACTTTTCCTTATTGCTACCTCTATTAAAGAGCCCTTTTTGTCTCGTGGTACCAAAATATTGACGAGATTGTGGTATTACTAAGTTCATTTCAAGATTTGGCGTCAATATTTAGCTTCATGTAGTACAATGATTGACCTTGGATGTGCCAAGATATGGTTGTGTCGGTAGACGCTCGTGGAAAAACACGCCATTTGACAACTGACAACTGAAGTTCCCTCATTTTAGGTACCTGAGGAAGAAAAATGTCTTGGCGAAGCCGGCAGAAGTCAAGGAAAACGTTTATGAATCATTGCCATATGATGAATGCGAATTGACTGAAACTCAGAGCGATGTCAAAAATCCCTCGTTCTCGAATACCGAATTGTGTTTTTCGTAAATCAATGTTGTGCCTTCTAGGCCTTTTCTAGGTGAGCCTGTACTTACCCAACTGTGATATAACACACCAACTTTTTTACTTACGTACCATTATTTTCATCGATCAGAGTCGGTAGCAGCTTTTTTTATGCATTTGGAATCTGAATAACAGATGAAAGTTGTTCAGTTAGTTGTAGATTTTATATGTGAACTAACTTTTTGTCAAAGTTGCCTGTTATTACTTATCAATTGTGTAGCTATTTTTAAATATAGTTACTTATTATTATCTATATCTTTCATTTATGTTCCTTGAATTAATAAATAATGAGGCCATAGTTGTATAATTGTTCGTGCAAATGAAAAATCATTTTCAAATACAGTTTCTAGTTGTATAATAAGATACAGCATATCTGAGAAATATATGGCGTAACTTCTTAACGGTGCAAGTTGCATTATATTAGAGTAAAAGAAGTCAAGGTCACTATGTTGGCTTGGATCGCATTTGAAACAATTAGAAAAATCATTCGAGCTTTCAAATTTTCTAAAAAGTTCATCCCAATTCAAACCAATAGAATACGAATCGGTTATCTGATTTCACCTAAAACTTTCCATTTCTTCGGACTTCTGGAAATTCTGGCGTAAATGCATGACATGTGGTTTTGCCTCTTTACAGACTCCGTCAATCAATATTCTAGCTCAAAAAACATCGAATTGAATCTTGATAAAAAAATAAAAATAAAAAATAGTGTAAATAAATGAAACAACTTTATAGAAACTTCACGCCTTGTATAATATACGTTCATACAGCCTATATTTCCTGCACTTGATAAAACATTTAAACAAAATACGAATAGACCAGTAATTGCTTTGACCCAGTTATTGACCGACTAAAAAATCGTTAGACAACAGGACAGATGTCTCCCAGTAAGTATAGATATACAATACATGGTGGATAAAATTCAAAGTATGTAACGTTTCATTTTTCAATTGTATTTTTATCATAATATTTAGCACTACCTGGTCATTCTTGTTTGTGGATAATTGATAACACCGTTTTATTCTAGTATTTATGAAATATTACTTACATATGTAATAAAGAACAGGGTACGTTCTCGATGCATTTATTCCAAATTCGCACTGGATAACACAACACTCATTTTATTTCACTGCACTTAACACAATTCATTGATGACTTCCTAGTCCGAAGTGCTGGTGAACCTGTTGCTCGTCTGCAGGAGAGATCGTACCTGAAATAAAGATATGTTTATTAAATTACAGGAATAGTTTGATGATAGTTTAGTATAATAAGAATCGGTTAAGGATTAGTAAATATAATATAGTGATAATAGATCACTTACCCATTATTTTTCAGGATTGCTTGATTGTTGTTGTTTTGTTTATAAACGTATATTTCGTGAGACGCGATGTCACCTGATTTGAGGTCTTCCACTTCTCGCTCATTTCACCTGAAGCAGGCCCACAGCTAAGGTTGGCATCTAAAATGAATTATGTGTGTCTTCGTTTGATAAAGTTATCTGAGAGGGACAGATCACGGTGATCATAGACTCTGGGCATGAGAAACATGGTATGGTATGAGTAGACCAGGGTCGTAGGACTTCGTTCAGGATCGAGAAAGGTTTGCCTTTTCAAAAATGTCACCAGTTTTTCCTAATGGAATATTTGTTCAGGATATGAGAGAGAAGTAAATAGGAGATCTACCTTCTCTCATGAGGCCCCCAGGGGGAAACGGTTAAACTAGACACAAGATGTCGGATTGCTAGTCATCAGTGCACGTAATTTTTTTAATTATTGAGTTATTTTAGTTTGAACTTATAATTTACACTTCATGTGGATATATCGGCACTTATTGATTATTCAATTCATCACCTATCGTTTTTGTCACGTTTTTGTGGTCATAGTGATGGAATTGACTCCTACATGGAGGATTTGTGCATTTCCGGCCTGTGCTACACTTGAATATCAGTTCCAGATTCGAATTTAAATACCCTCAAACATCTGAAGAGGTAGATAAAATCATGAGAGCTTGGTGAGTTGAACTATTTACTAAATGAAATATCCATTATAGGGTCCTTGTACCAGATTCATCAATTTTTTTGCTTCTGGTTACCGGCAAACGTAACCCGTGACGTCACCAGCCCATGACGTAACTGCTGTTTCTTCTGCTCTGCTTCCCTGTCTGCTGTGCATGCTTATCGTATACCATCCCGTTTGGGCTTCCCAAGTACCAAAGTTATGTGTGGTAGTCATCATTTTGTATGCAATAACCTGATACTGAGGAGAAAAGCTGCAGTATGCTATATATGGAACATTTACCAGATTGCTGACCTAATCGACCGGAATTTCAGATAAGCTGCATGATTTTATTTGATATATTTACATTTATTTACCCTCATTTCTTGGGGTCGTTTAGTGCCTTGCGATTAGTACCTCCTATTGCTAGCCAGATACTGTTTATGGGGTGTGTTTACTATTATTATTGTTTTTTTTTATCATATGTTGGAAATTAATCTCATTATCCATTAACAGTTATATATTCATAAGGTGTAGATGAATTTGATGAGTGACAAATGCAAAAGTGTACAGTGTACACTCACACGTGATCACGTCGGGGTATAACACTAAAGCCAAACAGTTATATAAGATAACTAACTGATAAAAATATAATATTTTGTCATGATCTCCCTATATGCATATTATAATAAACTTACAATTTTCTGGGATAACCTGGTACACAATATTATTTCATATCTAACTTTTGAAGCTTCTTGGTATACAGTGTGTTAACTTTTATGCAGTTTATCATATCTTGAACTTAGTCCATTCGAGAATTGTGATAGGTAAGCGGTATCAGATTATTATATGCTATTTCAATCAGTAATAGCAGTCATACAGTTGATTACGTTTTTTTTTTTGTTGTTATTCTTATCTGCAGAACGGAACCTAGGAGACCTGGGGAGTTTTCCAATTTAAACTCGCTTTTGTAAGTTGGTGGCGCCCATTTATGTAATTATTTATTCATCGATTATACGGTGTGTTCTGGTTAAACCCACCCTATACCCGACTGAGTTCCGGAGCAATCCTGCTCGTGCTATTTCGCATCCGTTCTCCAAGGTATTTTTTTTGTGTTATTTGTTTTTGTAAAAAAAAAGCACGTGGCAAGTATACCGGGTGGCTACGGAAGTATTGCCTACGGAATATCTCAGTTATTGTATGAAGTAGGTTTGTGAAATTTGGAGCGTCGATATAATGACATAAGAGCTAGAATTTTAGCATATTGACATGTCGAAGTTAACTTCCGGTCTGACCGGAAGTAACATCAACTTTCTTATTTTAAATGGAAACCCTATTTTTTTTTTTCGCTTTATTCAGCATTCAATTCCCTTCCTAATGACATATCACAAGTTGGTATCTAACCAGTAACTAGATCAGAAAAAAATTATTATTGAAATTCACCGAGTAGGCCGTGGAAGCAAAATGAAAGCAAAAAATTGAAAAGTAGGCTATGGAAACCATACGTCACTTGATAACAGTTGCTACACTACTGTGATATTTTATTTTCATTCGTCGGTGTTATAAAAAAGCCGCCAAAAAAATATTGGAAAAATTGGGAAAAAAACAATACTCTGTGGGTCCATAACTTAAATAGGAACATACAAATTTTTCTTGCCTGTACTATTCAGCAGAACCATTCCTTTCTAATGATATAATAGAAAGTCATTTTTTGAAATGAAATACCAAAAAATCCAATTATTATTCTTCAAATAACAAAAAACACATAGAGAATGCGAATTCTCAATGTATTGTTTTATATAAATATATATCCATTTTTGTATGTTCATAATTTATCTGAGAATATTCCTTTTCAAAAAACACATATTTATATTTTAATAATAATTTTTTTCTGATCTAGTTTCCGGTTAGATACCAACTTGTGATATGTCATTAGAAAGGGAATTGAATGCTGAATAAAGCGAAAAGAAAAAAATATGGTTTCCATTTAAAATAAGAAAGTTGATGTTACTTCCGGTCAGACCGGAAGTTAACTTCGCCATGTCAATATGCTCAAATTCTAGCTCTTATGTCATTGTATCGACGCTTCAAATTTCACAAACCTAGTTCATACAATAACCGAGATATTCCGTAGGCAATACTTCCGTAGCCACCTGGTATAATTTCGATCTCGATTGTGAATCATTGTATTAGTTTGTATTATTTTTCTTTATCAAACCATTCAATTTGATTTCTTATTTATGGAATCTAATAAAAAACGACTTGCGATGATTTACAATAGACAATAAATTGTATATTGAAATTGTTTGAAAAAATTCCTGGAACTATGAGTGGCAATTATAAGACCCATTTCAAAAATGAATTTGATTTCGTTGGTGGTTGAAATTATACGAAAAATTGGATTTCAAATGAACTAACGTAAAAAAGAAGTAGGCTGGAGCAGCATATTATATCGGATGTTTTTATTTCGAAATACCTCCAAATAAAGGATATTTCGAAAATATAAAAAATATACTGCTCGTATGGATTGTTATTATTTTCTCAAAAACGAGGGGAATCACTAAAAAAATGTATTTCAGAACATTCATTAGAAAGAATGATGAAAATCGAAAGAAATACAGGGTGATATTTTTTATCAAAATAAACCACAGACTTGCTCACTGGGTACGTCCCTGGAAATTCTGGATGGTATCTGATTGGTCCAATAGATATCTTATTATTATTTGAATAAAATGTGAAAATTTTATCGAAATAGGCTGATGCGTTTCTGAGCAGTCAGTGAAAATCTCAATTTTAAAAACGGTCTATAAGATTCACGATACGCCATGAAGTTGGTCCACCCTGTACTCCGTTGGCAATATGAGAAAGGTATAAATTGAGGCGCCCACGACTAAATCTAACAATTGATTGTTGTCAAGTTGTCATGGCGATCGTCGCATGTAAAAATGTGACCAATAAACAAACCTCGATTTATATTAATTTAATTTCGCCATTTAATGATAAAACATTCCTTGATTTTTTTATGTAGTTAGGCCAAAGTTTGCATCATCGATGTAAGAATTTTGTGTTCTGATATCTTGATTCATGAGGGTAAGTTGACTTTTTTTACCTAATAATTAAATGTCTTGTCGTGTATTTTCGAATGATAAAATAAAGCTATCGTTGATTAAAAAACAATAAAATTTCTTGAAACAATGAACTTATGAGGGTAGTGATGATGATGAGCGAGTCTTTTAAATTATTTCATTATGTACCGGGTGTACACCACTAAGAAAGGACGCCGGCTGTATCTCAGAAACTATTTGCCGCATAGGTTTCGGAAAAAAATATTTATGGTAAAAGTGGCCAAGAAAAATCTCTGGAAATTATTTTCAAGTTTCTAGGACAGCCCCTAGAGGGCGTAATTGCATTGGCCAGTTTAATAAACGGGTTTTTATGTAAATTTGATATATCAAGACATATCAAAAACACTTTTTTCATGTTCTTGAGTTGATTTCCAATCATTTCGATAAAAAAAAGTGCGCTAGCTCTCTGAATAAAAGAGGGAGGGAAGGATGAATAGTACTCTGGAAAAACTCTTATTATTACTACAGTTTTTGGTGTGACGGAATTCGACGATCTTGGTCTCATTATGAAGGGTTTTTTTGGTTCTTCCAGATGGTTCACGAATCAAGTCGATTTAAATCCTGTGGTGGCCGCTAGATGGCATCGTTTGAAAAAATCAGACAATTTTCCATTTTTTTCGAAAATTTCAAATGGAACCATATATTCATTCTACTCTAATATGAAAGTAGAGTAAACGAGAAGGAAAATGGTGAAAACCGCGAATTGATACCTCTTGAGGAACCGGTGAAATACTTGAAATAATTTCATCAAACATATTTTTTTCCGAAACCTGTGCGGCAAATAGTTTCCGAGATACAGCCGGCGTCCTTTCTTATTAGTGGTACACCCGGTACAAAAAGTGTGACGATCTCCTGGATGTGAATAGAACACACCAACATGTATTTTTCAAATATTTTTGAAATTTGCCTGGTGTCTAAATATTTCCCTAAAAGAATAATTATATAGTTTTTTAATTATTGTTGTATTTTAATTTTTTTTAATAGAGCAATTGAAAATGAAAATCTTCTGCACCTCAAGTTTATTTCGTAGTCCGCAGTGTTTTCCAAAAATTTCAAGACTAAATCCCTTTATTGCATGTCTCTGAACCATTATATAACGATAAAATTTTAAATTCTCCATATTTTACAAAATGAAAACAACCTTCTTTATTTCGAGCTAACAAATATATCCCCTTAAATTTTGCAGCATGTTGATTATATACAGGGTCGCTGATATGTATGGAAACAGGTGAATATCTCGGTAACCTGTTGTTGGATTTTTTTGAATTTATGTACTGTGTGATTTCAAAACGTGGCAGATTTGAAAATGTTATAGCCAATGTTGCCACTTTTTCAGTTATACCGGATTTTTTATTAACTTCCTTATTTTGAATAGAACACCCTGTAATTTATTGGATTTTCAGATTCTCCCTGAAGAGCTAATTTCATCGATCTATCACACTTGGGGTCTAGCAGGAATGAATACATATAGGTATAGGGTGTTTAAAATCTAGATTTTTCAACTTTAGTATTTTTTTGTGTCGAAACTATTCATTATCGATCAAAACCGCTCCAATGTTCCCATCTTTACTTCTGATTTACTATCTAATGACATTTAATTGAAACAAATACAGGGTGGTTCAAGATTCAGAATTCTGATCACCCTCTGTATCTGTTCCAATTAAATAGTCAGTAGATGGTAAATCAAAAGTGAAGATAGGAACAAAACCGCAATCAAAATCGCTTCAGTTTTGATTGATAATGGATAGTTTCTACACAAAAAAATCTTGAAGTTGAAAAACCTAGATTTTAAACACCCTATACCTATGTAATCATTCCCACTCGACCCCAAGTGTGATAGATCGATGGAATCAGCTCTTCAAGGAGAATCTGGAAATCCAATAAAGTACAGGGTGTTTCATTCAAAATAAGGAAGTTACTAAAAATCCGGAATATTTGAAAAAGTGGCAACAGAGGCTATAACATTTTCAAATCCGCCACGTTTTGAAATCACACTGTACATAAATTCAAAAAAATCTAACAACAGATTGCCGAGATATTCACCTGTTTCCATACATATCAGCGACCTTGTATATAGTAGTAAACATCACAAGTATATATTATAAAGAAATATTATTATTTTTGGATATACAGGGTGAGAATGAGTGCGAACAAATTCAGGAAGTGATCAATTGTCATATTTCCAATAGCCACCTTAATTGGAAGTATCAAAGTATTATTTATGACCCCCCTGTATAAGCTTACATAGTGACAAAAGTAAATCTAGTTGGTGACTCACAAAATGTTAGGATAATCCTTGGTTATGAAGTAGTCCAAATAATGGATGTTTTGAGAACACCTCTACACGGGGTGACCCGAAATCATCCTGCGAAACTTCTCTGAACTGAAACTGAACTTATTTCCATGCCCAATGCAGTGAAAATAAAATCATTCCAAATTTTCATTCGGGAGTGTATGACAGTAGTTGATTTTTTTATAGCCACTATATAAATTGGAAATTGGTAACGTTATGCATAAAATTTGAGATGTAACAATATTTTTAAATCGATTTTACTCGAAAATGATAAATCACTTTTTTTCTGTAAAGGAGTGTGGATTTTCATAAGCCCAGATTAAATTGTCGAAAAAAATGCATACAAAAAAGTTTGAGCAATATTTGATGTATGCATAATTTGATCACACGTTTCGGAACTATTCAAGAAATATCATCTTCAGTAGTCTTCTTTCAGGGGCTGTAGCTCCCTTTTTTTTCTCCTATTTTTTTGTCGTAGAAGCTTGACGATTTGGCAGGCTGATTTCGGGACACCCTGTATAAGAATCAAAATTTGGAGTCAAATCGAATTTTTATTGTTATCTCTGATACTAAGCGATATACAAAAGTAACACACGGGACTAGAAAGTGGTATTTCCAATAATTGTTCAATCTTATAAGATTATGAAACTTTAAAAAAAACAGTGGCGTACAATATGGTATGTATACTATTCACCATAAATATCGATGCGACACCACTTCAATTATTATTTCGAATTAGATTACACCAAAGAAACTTCATGATATTGTTGAGTTCATGGTGTAGGGATTTTTTTCAATGAATATGACAAAGAATCACTCCCTAATTTTTTTCATAGTCATTTTTTGACATTGCCCACATCTTTCTGGGACACCCTGTGTATGACACTTTGATTTTACCAGCTCTTGTCAGCAAGATGTCAAAAATAAGATCGTGAAAGTTACGTCAAAATGACAGCACACCGATTCTATATTTTCCATTTTTTTAAATAATATTTGTAAAGAGAAGGGGCCGAAAAACCTATCCTCATGGCTCATTCCAAGGACAAGATGTCGGAAATAGATGAGCACATCACGAAGCGTTTCGACATCCAGAAAAGACTGGGCAAGGGAGCGTACGGGATCGTGTGGAAAGCTATAGACAGAAAAACGAAAGAAGTGGTGGCAGTGAAGAAAATTTTCGACGCTTTCCGGAATCAGACCGATGCCCAGAGGACTTTCAGGGAAATAATGTTTTTACAATCCTTCAAGAGTCACCAGAACATCGTGAAACTGCACAGCATTCATAGGTGAGCGCTTGCGCACTAGACGAAATCCAACAGACTTATTCGCTACTCGTTTCAGGGCTGCCAATAATAGGGATATTTACTTAGGATTCGAATATATGGAAACGGACCTTCACAACGTCATCAAAAGGGGAAATATCCTCAAAGATATCCACAAAAGATACGTCATGTATCAACTACTGAAAGCTATAAAATACATTCACTCTGGTAACGTCATACACAGGGACTTGAAACCGAGCAACGTACTCTTGGACAGCCTCTGCAGGTGATGAAAATACTGACAAAACATTTCTTGAATTTTTTTCTGTACCTATGTATATATTATGGAACGAAAAACATGATATGTATCGTTTCCTTTTAGGTGTAAAATAGCCGATTTTGGCCTAGCTAGATCTCTGACATTGGGCTTAGAGGGTTCTGTAAGCGACACTGACCCGACTCTGACCGACTATGTTGCTACCAGGTGGTACAGAGCACCGGAAATACTCATAGCTAACAGAAAATACACCAAGGGTATAGACTTGTGGAGCTTAGGCTGCATCCTCGCGGAAATGACAGCGGGAAAACCAGTTTTTCCTGGTTCCTCGACCGTCAACCAGGTCGAGAAGATCATGGCAACTATCCCCACACCGACTCACGAAGGTAGGCTTGTATTTACGTGAAACTTAGGATAAATTGAAGATTTGGCAACGGTGCAATGCGAATTGGTCTTTGGATTTTTCACGAATACTAATAGAGCAATTCAGCTAGCGTTGAGAGAGAAAGAAAATGAATAAATGGAGAAGAACGGTAGCTGAACTGATCTCTATTTTAAGTGGTCCACATTACATGAATTAATTTAAGAATACTAGACTTGAATACTAGCAAATGTCATGCAAATAAGCTAGAAATATTGGCATAATAAGTTATGCATCGTTGCCATTTAACTCATTCTACAGGATGTTGAGGAATACAGAGAAAATATTATTTTTCAGATATTAACCTAGTTTGTGTGTCTGGCATGGGTTCTTCTATGATAAAAAATGCATCGTCAGTAACAAAAATACCCCTCAACACAATCCTAGGCCCCAATGTACCACCTGATGCCTTAGCTCTCATCAACCAATTGCTGGTTTTCAACCCCCACAAGAGACTGAACGCTGCCGAAGCATTAGAACAGGAATATGTAGCAAAGTTCCACGACCCCAGTCAAGAAATCACGATGCAAAGCAACGTGGTGATACCTCTTAACGATGACGTACGTCTGTCTGTAGACGACTACAGAAACAAGTTGTATGAACTGATGTCGAGTCACCATCCTAAACCTTTGACGGTACCACCTGTGGCTGTCAAACAGAAACATCTGACGCCGGAAGTGTATTCTAAAGTATCCAAAACAGCAGAAAGGTACTTCAAGTCGCACGTGACGTTGAAAGATCGCTCCTATATCTCGCAGTCGGAACCTAAGATGCATAATCAGAGAGCTCATTGGTTGCATACGGCTAATATCAGGTCGGACTCCAAAGTTGTCTTGCAGCAAAGTTTGCCAGTACCGGCTAGACATAGAGTAGAGAGTCTGAAGGCTGGAGGAGATACTAGGATACAGATGAAATCTAGTAGCGAGGTGCCGAAGAAGAGATTTACTCCGAAAAGAAATTATTTGAGTGAATCTTTCAATAGTTACAATAAAAGTCATGGAATTATTACACAAAGTGCTCTCATGGATCTCAGAGCTGCTGGATTGCGGTGAAAACATCATTCAACTTGATCACAGTATTATTTTATCACTTTTTATTATACTATACCTGCATTTTATACTCATTTTGCACATTGTGTACCTTTTTATAATAAACCGATAAACAGACTCACTACTTTTATATATTGATGGCTTAGTGGTAATACCAAGAATTGTCAAATTTGGAAAAATCATGATTTTCACAGATATTTGTTCGTTGATATGCTTGGCAACATTGTGCGAGAGCACGTAGTGCTTGAACTAATAAAAATAATTTTACTGTCATAATTATCATAGTAATACCACGTTTATCAACTAGTCTCTGGATCTAGTTTCAACCATAAATAAGACAGTCTGTAATCAATATATTGTATGATTGTATGGTCAGTTTTTGAACCAAATAAGTGAATTATATAAGAGACTGATCATTACTTGAAATAGAATAATTCAAATAAATTCATAACATCAATCATAATTTAATTCTGATGAAACAGTTCCAATAACATCCTTGCAGGATATGATATGTGTTATTGAAGTTGGATACATTTTGATATTCAAAACTCGAGAACATAGACATATTCTGTATCCTGATGAAAACTTGTAGACACGTTGATACGTGTTATATTTAATCATTTCGGCCACTTTCAAATTAATGTGCTACGCTACTGTTTATTTCCAATAATTAGCTGTCCCATGTTGACTGCGCATGCTCAGATCGTTTTTGCCTTGAAAATGGTCCAATCAGAGTGCAGTTGTAAATATGCAATGTTGCCAAGTGCTCCCGATTTTGACAATGTGCATAATACTACAAATAATAATCTCAATTTCCAAGCCCTTACTTTTGTCAGAGGAATGCGATCTAATTAGAGAGCGAATGTGATTTCCAGTGGTATTCTGAATTTTTCTTCTCATCGTATATTAACGGAAATGACTTGCTAAATTTTCGTTTCACTGAAATATGTGCTTTTTGAACGGGCTGGCAACGTAGAATCAGTACCCGCGTCTGCGCAGGAGTCGGTCAAAATTCAACAGAAACCGTGCAAATAGTCGGAGGAGAAACGGAGAAGCGGAGCAAGCAAATGTGAAGCGGTCGTCAAAATGGCTGCCTCAGATAGCAAAGCTCCGCTAAGAACGGTCAAAAGAGTGCAGTTTGGGATTCTTAGCCCAGATGAAATTGTAAGTAAATTGCTCCTTATGATATGCTCCATCGTTTGAGGAAGTTTTCCGAAACGCAAATCAAATATGTGGGTAGAAAAACGGGAGTTTTGTTGATGCCAGGTTGACTACTATAGTTTTGTACCAAGAAAAAGATGGGGTGATCTCTAGTCAAAAATTACCCTTTTTTTTTTCATTGAGCATAATTTGTAATACATGAAAATCTTCATGAATGATTACTTGAACACGAAGATATTCTCAATTTAATATCTTTGAATAATACTAAATGCCCAATGAAACTAATGAAAGCAAGGTTGGAGAAATTGCTGAACGGCTGAAAGTGTATTGCGCAAGCGCAACCGAAAATCTTGAATGACGAAGTTTGTTGTGAGTTGTGAAATAAATAATATCAGGGTTTTCTCTTTATTTATTGACCTAGAACCAATTTCTCATCAAGTTGTAAATTTGGCCATGAAAAGCTTGTTTGCACTGGAGTACCTACCTACTTTACCAAATGAATATTTCCATGTTGGCCTAGTGAAATCTCACAATTTAATTTCCCCAGTAATTTCCTATCTGACAATGTTTTTTTTTGTAGAGACGTATGTCTGTCACAGAAGGGGGCATCCGTTTTCCAGAAACCATGGAAGCGGGTCGCCCCAAGCTATGCGGTCTCATGGACCCCCGACAGGGTGTCATAGACAGAAATTCCAGATGCCAGACTTGTGCTGGTAACATGACAGAATGTCCAGGACATTTTGGGCACATAGACCTGGCCAAGCCAGTCTTCCATGTAGGATTCATCACAAAAACCATCAAGATACTGAGATGTGTGTGTTTTTTCTGCAGTAAATTGTTAGTCAGTCCGGTGAGTACTATTTTCCAAGTCCTAAGAACAATAATTCAACTAAAAACTTATTATGCAAATGTAATAATAAAGTTTTTTGATTTAATTGATATAGTGGCTTCTTTTATGTCTTCAATTTCACCCACTCAAAAACACACTATATTTTTAGTGTGGACTTCTGTTTTTTTTTTCTATTTCTTGAATATTTCAAAATCCTTGTTGAGAATTTAAACTGTTTGGATATTGAAAGAAAAACATTTTTTTTGTATTGTTAACTTTTGTATATGAATTTAAAATAAAGCATATTTATAAGAAAAATTCATTTCTTTTGTTAATATACATACTACAGGCATTGGTTATTTCAAATTATGGTTGAATATTGAATATATGCTGCTGACTATATGACTATGTTTTATTTAGAATGACTTTGATATTTTCTAAATATTTGATCTCTTTTTTACTTTTATTCTATCTTTCATACCTGAAACTTCAATACTAGAGAAATTCAGACTATTTGTTTCTGTAATAGAGAAGATGAAATTGTAGGTTTTACTAGCATTTAGTAAGAAACCTTACATACTCAACCAATTATTGTTCACTTCCATGCCTAACTGGACAGAAATTTCAGTTTCAAACCATGTTTTGTTCTGGGAATCTCAACTATATCATCAGTATATTATGAAAATTCTTCTGATTACTTGAACAGAGGGATGATCTCATATAGACTCAAAGAGAATAAATAACAATGTTTTCTGTAGTAATAGTTCAAGAAAATCAGGAACTAATAGATGATGCTGAAAAAACATCAAATTTTTAGGAGAATGTGGTCAATTAAGATTTCACTCAGGAAACCAGATCATCAATCTGAGATATTTTTAATGATAAGCTATTGATCAACATTTATAAACAGCAGAAAACACACTTTTCACAAGTTTTATCAATCCATATTGTTTTCAAAATGGAGCTTTGTGATGACTTCAAATCTTTCAACCAAAGTGTTTCTTTGCACACAACTCCAGTAACTCAGCAGGACTTTTTCACACAATTCTGAATCTCCAAAAGGAAATTTGTGTAACAAAACTATGCCCATACACTACTTCCTGGATTCAACTATTGATGGTTTGTTCATTTGATAGATGTTCTGAAAAAACAATCACTTGGATTATATGCACAAAATAAGTCCAAAAACTATCAAATAAGAATAAAGAAACTGCTTGAAACAATTATAAAATGCTAAGAGGGGGGAGGGGGACGGTGGACAGTGTCATATCACGTCAGATAGTACACTAGGCAGTGTTTCACCACTAACCAAACCGACTTTTTATGCCTGGACACCTAGTTCACATGTGAATTCAACCATAACTAACATTATCTTGGTGGTTAGTGTCTTTCTCGGTTGGGTGGACATATACCTAGTATATAACTAGCACACTAGGATGGAACATTTAATTTCAACCTTCTCCTGAGCATGTTAACATAGTTAGTGAAACATGTGGTCAAGGTGAAAAATCTTGCCAAAGGTTCCATCAGTCATAATTATGTAATATAGTGTACAAATCCCCTCACATCAAGAACTCTACTCCATCACAGGAGTCTTATATTCGACACATGAGCCGTTTCTTATCATGAATCATTATTGAGAAATGAACATGTCAAAGATCATTTGAAATTTTTTTGTTCTTGGTAATTTCAAAAGGCCTTCTAGTAACAAACTCTTTCCCAACTCTTTGATTCTTCATTTGAATCCAATCTCCAACCCTCAGCTTTGGCGTTAAAAATTTTCCGTACTTGTTTGCCTGTTCTTGAATCCCTTTCTTATATTTCAATTGTACTTTGTGATTTTTCAGTCTTACTTATTCCAAACTCTATTCCTAGTTTTTTTTTAGAATCGTTTAGTACTTGTATGGATATAATAGTTTGGTTTTGGTACCTGTATTATCCTATATAAAGGGTTTCCCAATAAGCATGTCAGAACTTTAAAATGTAATAGCTTGACAGCTATATTTGTCACTAGTGGGCAATTAGTCATGGAGAAGTACACAGTTCAACAGGGAGTAGAAATTATTCAAGTTTATCAGCAAAATGAGTGTTATTGCACGAAAGATTTCAAGGACTGCTGACGTAACTTGGCCAGCAAAATCTTACGATCTTACACCCCTCGACTATTTTCTTTGGGGTTATGTTATCTAGTCCGCAGAAATAGCCCCGAACTATTCAAGACCTTGAACAACACACTTGAAGCACCCTAGAAAACATTCCACGTGATGTGATGTGTCTAACAGTAATTGAAAGTTGGACCACCAGGATACAGGAAACGCCAGTTAGGCGAGGCGGTCATTTAACTAACATTATTTTTAAAACATAATGTCGGAGATAGCAAAATAATTCGAAAATGACTTTATATTATCACTTGTTGTTTTCTCAAAGTTCTGACATACTTATTGGAAATCCCTTTAGTATAAGAAATTTTTATTTTCTTTTAACGTGACGACGTGTTTTGAAATATAAGGTTAATCAATAAAATCAATAAAGAAGGACTGCAATAATTCTAATACCAATCTTCATTTCATAATCATATATAACCATACAAATACAGTACACTATCTATCAAACATCTAACATATTGGTCCTTTGAGCCAGATCTATTCAAATCAAACTCAAAACTGCCAAATTCTTCACAAAGGATACAGAGCAGCACTCAAGACTACCTGGAGTAATAATGAACGCCAAGCAGCTCGAGTTTTCACAGCAAGCAGTTCAAGTGAACAATAATTCAACTACTTTCTCAATATAATATACAGTTTCATATAGTGTTCATATATCATGTGGTATTTCCCAATGTTGCTTGGGGTAGTAACAAAATCATGTAAATGAAAATCAAAAAAGTAATGAAATTGAAGGACGGGGGGCGGCGACGAGATTGATGTTGGCAAAGAGGGGAGAGTGTGCAACTTTCGTCACATCAAGAAATCATCCATACTGTTTTATAATCGAGACATGAGACGTGTAGCTTGAATCATCATTAAAAAAATAAACTCCATTCGTATTTTTTGTCTAAGTAATTTCAAAATGCCCTCTGGCAACGAACTCTTTCTCTACTCATTGATTCTTCCTTAGAATCCAATCTCCAATCCTCAGCATTGACGGTAACAATTTTCGGTTCTTGTTTGTTCTTGTATCCATTTCTTATGTTTTTATTTTTCTTCATGATTTTCAAGCCTTCCACTAATTTTGAACTGCTTGGAGGACTGTTGGTCCAAAAATTTGATATGTGAATAGTTGTGATGATGAGCAGCTTCTTCTAGACAATTCTTCCAGCCACAATTGTATTATCAACCTTCGTTTCATTATCATATCCATATTATATCAAATAACCATTCAAATACAGTCCACTATCTATCAAGCATTGAACACATTGGTCCATCGAGCCGGATCGATTCAAATTAAACCTTCAAGACTGCCAAGTTCTTCACGAAGGATACCTAGCAGCATATTCCTAATACACAAAACAATGTTTCTTGTGGTAATAACAAAGGCATCTAATCTAATATTCCAGAACAACCCGAAAATCAAAGAAGTCGTGATGAAATCCAAAGGCCAACCTAGGAAACGTCTCGCCTTCGTCTACGACCTGTGCAAGGGCAAGAACATCTGCGAGGGCGGCGACGAGATGGACGTTGGCAAAGAGGGTGGGGGGGAGGACCAAGGAAAAAAACAGGGACACGGCGGGTGCGGCCGATACCAGCCGAACATCCGAAGGGCCGGCTTGGATTTGTCGGCCGAGTGGAAGCACGTCAACGAGGACACGCAGGAGAAAAAGATCGCCCTGTCGGCGGAGCGGGTGTGGGAGATATTGAAGCATATCACTGACGAGGAGTGTTTCATTCTTGGTGAGTGAGAGTGTGATAATAATGATATAGGGTTTCTGTAAATGATCGTAAGTAACATCATAACAACATAACCGAGACGCAATGCGTCGAGGTTAGCTATATTCTCGAGACAGGAATGAAACTCCCTACCGAGGTTTGTATACTATGTATTTTATTTACAACCATCATATTGCGATCAAAATTAATAAATCTGTTTCGTTCTGAACATACCTGAATTATTACATGAGTGAGGGCGGGAAGTACATATATGGTTGTAAATAAATAATTTTTCCTCAGGCATGGACCCCAAATTCGCTCGCCCCGACTGGATGATCGTCACCGTCCTGCCCGTTCCCCCACTCTCCGTCCGCCCCGCAGTCGTAATGTTCGGCTCGGCGCGTAATCAAGACGATTTGACGCACAAGCTGGCCGACATCATCAAGTCAAACAACGAGCTTCAGAAAAACGAAGCTGCTGGCGGGGCGGCCCACATTATCACTGAGAACGTCAAAATGCTGCAGTTCCACGTCGCCACGTTGGTTGACAACGATATGCCGGGCATGCCGAGGTGAGAGAAACGTCGAAAATATTGAATATCGGTACTTTGCGTTCACAAACCAACTGCCCAGAGATCGGAACTTGTGTGCTTTTGATGTAAGATGACTTGAAATGTATTACCTCAAATCGCAGACTAAATAACAATATATAGACACCGCTATTCGTTCATAAAATCTTCTAAAAGTATGTGCCTATCCGGCTCGAAGGACCAAAGTGATCCTGATAGTTCGACGAATTCGCCTCAGAATTTATTATTTGTCGGAAAATCAGATAGAACCTCACTCGTGTGGATACATTCTCCAGTTTTTCTTTGTGTTTTTGAATTTGAATTGAAAACGACGCTGCTGATGTTAGATGTTTCAAAAATCGTTACCTTGTATCCTTAGACTAAACATTACATAGACACCGCTATTCGTTCATAAAATCTTCAAGAAGTATCCGGCTCAAAGGACCAAAATGGTCACGATAGTTTAATGCTTTTATGAATTTGCCTCGGAATTTACTATTTGTCTGAAAATCGGATTGAACTTCACTCACCTGGTTACATTCCTGTTTCTGCATCTATATTTTGGCGCCAGTTTTCTGTTTTCTGAAATTGTTGAGAGACTGCTACCAGAGTGTTATGGATCACTAATATGTTTCTATTATCGCTGTTATTGATTAACAAACGACATTGGCGTCTTCACGTGCATTTCTCACCTTCGTTGCCAGGTCGCTTTGTGATTTTGGAGTTTATTGGAATTTCAAGGAATATAGGTTCAAATTCTTTGAAAATTTCAGGTCTTGACACTACTTGGAAATTGTTGGAATTTCTTGTGATTTCAAGGTTTAATGTGATGAAAGAACTGGTTGATTTATTTTCCCATTTGAAATTGCTAGTAAATTTTCGGGGTTCCTCTGAACTCCAAGTGATTGTGCTTGGAATCATTTGGAATTCCTTGAGATTTTTCGGTATTTTTAAATTCCCTCAAAAAGTATTTCAATCGTTTTATTTGTTTCAGGGCAATGCAAAAATCTGGAAAACCCCTGAAAGCACTCAAATCCCGTTTGAAGGGTAAGGAGGGCAGAATCAGAGGCAACCTTATGGGAAAACGTGTGGACTTTTCTGCACGTACCGTCATCACTCCCGATCCCAATTTACGTATCGATCAAGTAGGAGTACCGAGAAGTATCGCACAAAACATGACTTTCCCCGAAATCGTCACACCATTCAATTTCGAGAAGTGAGTTATATAATATTTCATATTTTATATTATCAACCATAAATCATGAAAAGGTATATTCCTACAGTCCTATTTTGACAGAGCTGTGGAGATTATTATAAATATTGAGCTATGGAAGGGTTTTTGCAGCCTATGAAAAATTATGACAAAGTCAACAAACACATGACATTTTTTCTTCAAGGATGTTGGAGTTGGTTCAGAGAGGTAATTCTCAGTATCCTGGGGCAAAATATATCATCAGAGACAATGGAGAACGTATAGATTTGAGGTTTCATCCAAAACCCTCAGATTTACATCTACAGTGTGGATACAAGTAAGTATTCATCGTGAAACTTGTGTGTTTTGTTGGTTTTGTACTTTATTTCAACTCATTCCTAGAGGTCATCGACTATATTCTAGACAATTTGAAATTAGCTATGTATTTGATATTTTCCATTGGAACAAATTTACAGGGTGTTGATATTCTACGGACATCGGTTCACAGGTGAATTAACTTTTTTTTCACAATAACTCGACTACTGTTGAAAATTTAACATTTTATAATATGCTTTAATTTTCATATACCTCAAATTTTGATGAAATAGACATGGTACCTATTCCACCCATATTTTTTATGTCATTGATGGAATTAGGATCCTTTTTCCATCAAATTCTGTTGCAGAACACAAAAGTTGCGTTTTATTTGTACCATTCTGGTAGCGGTGGTGGGAACAGAATGACGTTTACAAATAAAACGAGTTACTTCATGACATCCTTTTCATGACCTTACATGAGAGAATTGACATATAATAACAGTATAGAAGTTAGAGGATTTATTGGGGCTCCGAATAATTTCAAAATCCTAATACTGGAATTAAGAGTTTAAAAAAAGAATCAACGAATATTTGAAGCAGTGATTGTGGTGATGGGAGAAACTTCTCTGAGATCAAGAGAATTCATTTCATCTGGGAATAAACATATGGAACCGGACTTACTTGAAAGAATCATAAACTTGTGAACCTCACGATAAAAATGTCTTCTTAAAGTCTTCTACCTTCAAAAAGTTTCGATTTTCGTCAATCGAATTCGATTTTTTGACAAATGTCAACAGTCATTCCGCATCATTGGTTGTAGTGAAACGGAATGAAAAGTAGCAAACGGACTCGGAAAAGTTGAAAATAAAACGGCACATTGAAGTGATTCCGGTGGCGGAATGGGACAAATAAAACGCAACTAAAGTCTTCAACAATGGTTGAAACAACATCATTTGAAATATTTGATCTCAAATCAAAGTTTACAAAATTAATTTTTCATAATTTTCTATAGCAGAAATCATTGAAAAAAATGTTTTTTATTAGAACTACTTAGTCTTTGTGTTGAGTAGTTGAACAAAAATAGTTATTTTATGCAGGAACAACATGTAGAAATGTTGCAAATGACTATGCAAGCATATTTTGTCAAACATCTAGAAAAATGTTTATTTTTCTACAGTTGAAGGTTATTTGTTTTTTCAACAAAGTAACAGGGAATTCACAAACTGAGGATGATCATTATTTCTTAAGTGGCCTAGAAAATATGGAGGAACAAAGTTTAAGTCTTTAATTTCATCATCAACAATTTTAGATTTTTAAATGAAAATGCCATTCTTCAGCTATTTTGAAAAGCAATTTATATTTTTTTGAGGTCAATGTCAAAGTCAAAAATCCCAAAATCCTGAATAGCCCTAGAAGCTATGGCCATTTTTATCGAAAATATTCGAAAAATATGATGTAGAGGCCTTGAACAAATAGAAATCCTCAAGTTATCGAAAGACGCCAGCCGTCTTACGTTTTTTACTCACAATGTGAAACTTTACAACCAATTCTTGCATCGTCTGAGAAGAAGATATAGTAGCTAAAGGCCATATGAAAATGAGAAGCATATTCATCAGTTCTACGAACCCTGACCTCATGTTTCTGTGGCGAGGTTTGGTGGACGAAAAATAATGTTAGCCCTCATTAAACAACATCAAAATCCAGACGGGATGATGAATTGTATATTATTTTTCGTTCACAGGGTCGAGAGACACATCAGAGATGGCGACTTGGTGATTTTCAATCGTCAGCCCACCCTCCACAAAATGAGTATGATGGGTCACAGGGTTAAAGTCTTGCCTTGGTCCACTTTCCGCATGAACTTGTCTTGCACGTCTCCCTACAATGCCGATTTCGATGGTGACGAAATGAACTTGCACGTGCCACAGAGTATGGAAACTAGAGCAGAGGTAAACAGTTTTTTCACAATTGAATATTCTAAGGAATTGAAGAAATATAAATTTCAAATATGGGCTCATTATAGGAAAGCTCCAATTGATTGGAGGAACAGATAGCCAACAATTTTTTTTTCTAAATGAGAAACACTGTATATACCTAACCCATGAGGCGTCTACCCCGGTTGCAACGAGGGTTTACCGATGCCAAGGGTCGATACTCTCCCCTCGTAAGGGTACCTGTCATATATCCATTGAGACATGAAGGTGACTATCGAAAAATGTTCTATGATATATCGCCTTCCATAACAAATAATGAATTTGGAAGAAATATTCGAAATGAATTGAATAAAACTCGTTAATAGTAATGAAAAACTTATCACCGGTCATTGGTTTCTGGTATGGTTTCCTCCTTTGTGCAATTTTTTCGTCGATTAATAACACGTCGCTTGGTTGATCTGAAACATAGTTGGTATCAATGTCTCGAATTCAAAATATATTGAGATTTGAACTTTTCTCTTTTGTGAAATTTTTTCGTCAATTAATAAAACTTCGCTTCGTTGATCTAGAACATAATTGGTATTAATATCTCGAATTCAAAATATATTAAGATTTGATATCATGAAAGTTACAAGGAATAAGAAAATGAAATATTGAAGAAAACTTTTTCAAATTCCGTTGCTGAAACGCGACATATTCTTCTATTACTCAAAAAATGAACGGAACAGATAGCCATCAATTTTTTTCCTAAATGAGAAACGCTGCATATACCTAACCCATCAGGAACCTGCCCCTAAATATTGAATTTGGAAGAAATATTTGAAATGAAATGAATTGATTGAAATTCGTAAATAGGAATGAGAAACTTATCACCGGTCGTTGGTTTCTGGTCTAGTTTCCTCTTTTGTGCAATCTTTTCGTCGATTAATAACACGTCGCTTTGTTGATCTAAAACAGAGTTGATATCAATATCTTGAATTCAAAATATATTGAGATTTGAACTTTCCTCTTTTGTGCAATGTTTCCGTCGATTAATAACACTTCGCTTCATTGATCTAAAATATAGTTGGTATTAATATCTCGAATTCGAAATATATTAAGATTTGAAATCATGCAAGTTACATGGAATGAGAAACTGAAATATTGATGAAAACTTTCTCAAATTCCGTTGCTGAAACGCGACATATTCTTCTATTGCTCAAAAAATGAACGGAACAGAGAGCCGACAATTTTTTCCTAAATGAGAAACACTGTATATACCTAACCCATCAGGCGCCTACCCCGGTTGCAACGAGGGTTTACCGATGCCAAGGGTTGATACTCTCCCCTCGTAAGGGTACCTGTCGTGTCACCATTGAGACTTAATGGTGACTATCAAAAAAGGTTCTATGATATATCGCCTTCCATAACAAATAATAAATTTGGAAGAAATATTCGAAATGAATTGAATGAAACTCGTAAATAAGAATGAAAAACTTATCACCGGTCGTTGGTTTTTGGTCTGGTTTCCTCTTTTGTGCAATTTCTTCGTCGATTAATAACACGTCGCTTCCTTGATCTGAAACATAGTTGGTATCAATGTCTCGAATTCAAAATATATTGAGATTTGAACTTTCCTCTTTCGTGCAATTTTTTCGTCGATTAATAAAACTTCGCTTCGTTGATCTAGAACATAGTTGGTATAAATATCTCGAATTCGAAATATATTAAGATTTGATATCATGAAAGTTACATGGAAAAAAAACTGAAATATAAAAGAAAAATTTTTCAAATTCCGTTGCTGAAACGCGACATATTACTCATAAAATGAACGGAACAGATAGCCAACAATTTTTTTCCTAAATGAGAAACACTGTATATACCTAACCCATCAGGAATCTACCCCTAAATATTGAATTTGGAAGAAATATTCGAAATAAAATGCATTGATTGAAATTTGTGAATAGGAATGAGAAACTTATCACCGGTCGTTGGTTTCTGGTCTGGTTTCCTCTTTTGTGCAATCTTTCCGTCGATTAATAACACGTCGCTTCGTTGATCTAAAACAGAGTTGGTATCAATATCTCGAATTCAAAATATATTAAGATTTGAAATCATGCAAGTTACATGGAATGAGAAACTGAAATATTGATGAAAACTTTCTCAAATTCCGTTGCTGAAACGCGACATATTCTTCTATTGCTCAAAAAATGAGCGGAACAGATAGCCAACAATTTTCTCCTAAATGAGAAACACTGTATATACCTAACCCATCAGGCGCCTACCCCGGTTGCAACGAGGGTTTACCGATGCCAAGGGTTGATACTCTCCCCTCGTAAGGGTACCTGTCGTGTCACCATCGAGACTTAAAGGTGACTATCAAAAAATGTTCTATGATATATCGCCTTCCATAACAAATAATAAATTTGGAAGAAATATTCAAAATGAATTGCATAAAATTCGTAAATAGTAATGAAAAACTTATCACCAGTTGTTGGTTTCTGGTCTGGTTTCCTCTTTTGTGCAATTTTTTCGTCGATTAATAACACGTCGCTTGGTTGATCTAAAACATAGTTGGTATCAATGTCTCGAATACAAAATATATTGAGATTTGAACTTTCCTCTTTTGTGCAATTTATTCGTCGATTAATAACACTTCGCTTCGTTGATCTAGAACATAATTGGTATTAATATCTCGAATTCAAAATATATTAAGATTTGATATCATGAAAGTTACAAGGAATAAGCAAATGAAATATTAAGGAAAACTTTTTCAAATTCCGTTGCTGAAACGCGACATATTCTTCTATTGCTCAAAAAATGAACAGAACAGATAGCCATCAATTTTTTTCCTAAATGAGAAACACTGTATATACCTAACCCATCAGGAACCTGCCCCTAAATATTGAATTTGGAAGAAATATTCCAAATGAAATGAATTGATTGAAATTTGTAAATAGGAATGAGAAACTTATCACCGGTCGTTGGTTTCTGGTCTGATTTCCTCTTTTGTGCAATCTTTTCGTCGATTAATAACACGCCGCTTCGTTGATCTAAAACATAGTTGGTATCAATATCTCGAATTCAAAATATATTGAGATTTGAACTTTCCTCTTTTGTGCAATTTTTCCGTCGATTAATAACACCTCGCTTCGTTGATCTAAAACATAGTTGGTATTAATATCTCGAATTCAAAATATATTAACATTCGAATTCATGCAAGTTACATGGAATGAGAAACTGAAATATTGATGAAAACTTTCTCAAATTCCGTTGCTGAAACGCGACATATTCTTCTATTGCTCAAAAAATGAGCGGAACAGATAGCCAACAATTTTCTCCTAAATGAGAAACACTGTATATACCTAACCCATCAGGCGCCTACCCCGGTTGCAACGAGGGTTTACCGATGCCAAGGGTTGATACTCTCCCCTCGTAAGGGTACCTATCGTGTCACCATTGAGACTTAAAGGTGACTATCAAAAAATGTTCTATGATATATCGCCTTCCATAACAAATAATAAATTTGGAAGAAATATTCGAAATTGATTGAATAAAACTCATAAATAGTAATGAAACACTTATCACCGATCGTTGGTTTCTGGTCTAGTTTGCTCTTTTGTGCAATCTTTTCGTCGATTAATATCACGTCGCTTCGTTGATCTAAAACATAGTTGGTATCAATGTCTCGAATTCAAAATATATTGAGATTTGAACTTTCCTCTTTTGTGCAATTTTATCGTCGATCAATAAAACTTCGCTTCGTTGATCTAAAACATAATTGGTATTAATATCTCGAATTCAAAATATATTAAGATTTGATATCATGAATGTTACAAGGAATAAGAAAATGAAATATTAAAGAAAACTTCCTCAAATTCCGTTGCTGAAACGCGACATATTCTTCTATTACTCAAAAAATGAACGGAACAGAGAGCCAAAAATTTTTCCTAAATGAGAAACACTGTATATACCTAACCCATCCGGAACCTACCCCTAAATATTGAATCTGGAAGAAATATTCGAAATGAAATGAATTGATTGAAATTTGTAAATAGGAATGAGAAACTTATCACCGATCGTTGGTTTCTGGTCTAGTTTGCTCTTTTGTGCAATCTTTTCGTCGATTAATAACACGTCGCTTCGTTGATCTAAAACAGAGTTGGTATCAATATCTCTAATTCAAAATATATTGAGATTTGAACTTTCCTCTTTTGTGCAATTTTTCCGTCGATTAATAACACTTCGCTTCGTTGATCTAAAACATAGTTGGTATTAATATCTCGAATTCAAAATATATTAAGATTCGAATTCATGCAAGTTACATGGAATGAGAAACTGAAATATTGATGAAAACTTTCTCAAATTCCGTTGCTGGAACGCGACATATTCTTCTATTGCTCAAAAAATGAGCGGAACAGATAGCCAACAATTTTATCCTAAATGAGAAACACTGTATATACCTAACCCATCAGGCGCCTACCCCGGTTGCAACGAGGGTTTACCGATGCCAAGGGTTGATACTCTCCCCTCGTAAGGGTACCTGTCGTGTCACCATTGGGACTTGAAGGTGACTATCAAAAAATGTTCTATGATATATCGCCTTCCATAACAAATAATAAATTTGGAAGAAATATTCGAAATGAATTGTATAAATTCGTAAATAGTAATGGAACACTTATCACCGGTCGTTGGTTTCTGGTCTAGTTTCCTCTTTTGTGCAATCTTTTTGTCGATTAATATCACGTCGCTTCGTTGGTCTAAAACAGAGTTGGTATCAATATCTCGAATTCAAAATATATTGAGATTCGCACTTTCCTCTTTTGTGCAATTTTTCCGTCGATTAATAACACTTCGCTTCGTTGATCTAAAACGTAGTTGGTATTAATATCTCGAATTCAAAATATATTAAGATTTGAAATCATACAAGTTACATGGAATAAGAAACTAAAATATTAATGAGAACTTTTTCAAATTCCGTAGCTGAAACGCGACATATTCTTCTATTGCTCAAAAAATGAACGGAACAGAGAGCC